TAAACCAAGAGCTCCGACTGCCACAAGCAATTTAGCTTCATGTATTTCTTCTACTTCGATAAATCTTTTACATGCTTCCACTGTAATACTGAAACACAATGCGACTAAAAAAACGGCATTTACCAAAGCTCCTAAAACTTCAGCTCTGGCCCAACCAAATGTATTCTTAGACCATTTCTTTGGTGACATCTGTGAACAAAAAAAATATATATATATATAATATATAAAACGGAATTTATAAAATAATATCTTAAAAATATATATAAAAACAATTAGAAAGAATTTATAGTTGAAAAATTCGTAATGTTTTTTACCACAATTGAATTTAAATGTAATCAATATCTATTCTTGATATCAATGAATATTAAATTACGTTTCGGACAAATATTTTTTTTTTGAATTCATTGAAAACAATTAAAAATAATTTTAAAAAAACATATTAATCTAAAAAAATTTCTATTAATGTTATTCTTCATATCAATGAAGAATCAGCAATTGTAATTTAATTATATTTCATTTATTGAATATTAATATTAGTCATCACTTAAATATATGAAACTTCTTTAAAAAAAAGATTAAAATAGATAAAGTGTTAAAAAAAAATGAATAAAAGAAAAAAGGAAAAAGTATTAAATGATGAATAATCATTAAAATAAGCTTTAAATTTAATAAAAATAAAATTCAATGTAAAAACTTCATCTTTAAATTCTTCTTAATTTTATTACAAACTTTCTAAATAATTCAATATAAACATATAAAACATTAATATAAAATATTAATATTTTAATACAAAATATGAAACTATATGAAACATCTTTAAAAGATCGATTTTAAATTAGAAATCGAAACAAAATTTAATATATATTAAAATTAATATATATACTATATATAGTAATTCATATATGATAATCAATAAAATATTATAATTATTTTATAATATAGAATTTATTATATTTTTTTTAGCACAATTATTGTAATTTTTGTTAGATGTTAATTTATCTCTCAGATTCAATAAAATGATAAATAGCATAGTTATCACTTTATGAGATAAAAAATATTAAAAGCTTTTTTTTTATAACAGTAAAAAAATTCTTGTATTATTCGATTGTTTGATTCTCGGATTATTCAATCTCTTGATCGTAAAACAAAAAGAAATCGTATTATCAATTCCATTTTTATATTTCCATAAGTGGTAGTACATACTTCGGGACTAAATTTAAAGCTTATTTTAATGATTATTCATCATTTAATACTTTTTCCTTTTTTCTTTTATTCATTTTTTTTTAACACTTCAATCATACAAAGTATACATTTGTTTATATAAATTTCTTATTATTCATATCGCGCTATTTACCTTTACAGAAAGAAATGCAACGACCAAAGCTGCTACATCAGATAACATGTGAAAACTGTCAGCTATCAAAGCCATACAGTTAGTCACATATCCCACGACTATTTCTACTAAGAAAAATAGAGCAGTGAGCCATAACATCGTTAACAAACGACATTTTTTTCCAGTGTAACGACCCATGTTTGTACCTAAAAATAATATATAAATATTATATAAAAGCCAAAAATAATATAAAATATTTTATGATTCAAATTATTAACTTTAATTAACTTATTAATTTAATTTTTATATAAAATTTAATATATAATATATAATAAATATATAGTAAAATAGAAAATACAAAATATTAAATATTAAAAAAATATATAAAATATTAAATGTAAAAAATTAAAAATAATTAAAAAATGTAAAACTAGTTTTTTTATAGAACTTGTCAAAAAGAAATGAATCTATTTTTTTTTTGAATAGATATGTATATATAAATGAAATGCTTTATTATTAATTATTAATTATTAATTATTATTATTTTTTTAATTATTAATTAATTATTAATTAATTAAAAAATAATATTTTTATAAATATTAATTCAATAAATCCAAAAATTTTTCAAAATTTTTGATTATCAATAAATTACGCAATGTATGTAAATGCATATTTTTATAGAAAATGGTGAGATCTGGACAAAAATATATTTTATACATTTATATTTAAAAATATATAAATTTTGTGCCATGTATTTCTGTCATATACATGCATATATCATTATTATATAGAATTATTTCGTTATAACTTAATTTAATTCGATCGAAAATTTTCTTATTATACCTATAATTAATAACAATGATATATAATTAATATTGATATAAATTGATGATTTAATATTGATATTTCAAATATATATCATATATTTACAATTCCGATTACTAATCAAACATTAGATGTAGCAATTTATCTTGAATTCAAATAATTTAGCGTAATTATCATAGCAATAAGCAATATAAAACGAATTTTATGAAAATATTTCTCGACAAATTTTAAAAAGTCCGAAAATTTAGAAAAATAAAATAACATTATTTAAAAGTTGAATAATTCTAATATTATTGCTAAAAATAATAAAAAATAATAAAAAAAATATTTGATTCAAATTATTAACTTTAAAATTATAAAATGTGAAAAAAATTACAATTAAATATATAATAATATCATCAATAATATATAAACATCAATTATATGATATCAAATTTAAAAAAAATGATAATAATTTATCATAATTCAACCACATATAAATCAAACCATAATCACTGTAAAATATATTATTAATACTAATTTTTAATATTTATATTTAGAATTAAATATAATATAATTATCATATGCTTTTTGCATTTTTATCATGCATCTGCAGTTTATTGTCATATAAATGACGAATGTTATTATTATAAATTACATCTTTATACATGTATTTTTTTAAGATTATCATGAAAAAAAAATAACTGAAAAGAAGAATTTATATAAAAACAATATTCTTTAATTCTATTTAAATAATATTAAATATACAAATTTGTCACAAATTAAATATTTCAAAAAATTATTTTATTTATATTTATATATTTATATTTATATACAAAAAGAAAATAATTTTAAAATTTAAGAAAAATATTTACTCATTAAATATTTGCATTTAATGCTATATCTTAGATTTATTTAAATAATTCTTTTATTATGTTATTTAAAAACATAAAACTTTATTTGATTCATAATCCATCTATGAAATAATTTATCTATTTTATTCTATTTTAATGAAATTATTTAACATTTTTATTTTTATTCTTAAAAAAAATTATATATTCTTAAAATATGATGAAGATTTATTAATGATGAATAATTGTTGTTATTAATTTTTAAAAATATTATTTAAATAATATAATTTAAAAAATTAATTAATGTTATTATTAAAAAATTATTTAAAAAATTTGTTAAATAATTAATGACATTAAAATTTTATAAAAAAATAGTTACATTCTATATTTTATTTATTAATAATTAATAATTAATAAAATCAATAAAAAATATATTATTTAATTTTAAAATATTTTAAATATTTAATTTAATAATTATAATTAATAATTATTCTAATATATCTTAATTATTTCTGTAATATTTATGTATTATGTGTTCTCTATTAACATATTCATATATTGTATATAAATAAGATATATGAATTATTATAAAATATTAAATATAATATTATTAAAACATTTATTTTTAATATAAAATTTAAAATTTTATTTCACAAGAAGAATTGTTTTTTATAAATGCTAATGATTATTACAAAATATTAATATAATGGCAGATTTAAATATAACCATTTAGAAACTCACTTCATTTTTATAATATTATATATAATATTTTGTTATCGTATAATAACAATTTTTTTTTTTTTAATTTATTATTTATTATAACTTTTAAAATTGAAACTTTTACAAAAAAAATATATAATTTGTATTTCTTTCTATATGTATTTCTATGTATACAATATTTAACCTTATTTAATAAAAAGAATAATTGTTATATATATATAATAATATATATAAATGTTAAAAATCGTATAAATAAAAATATTTCATGAATAATAATAACATTATTTATTCCATTTTCATAGAATTAAATAAGATATTATAAACGCAATGACATATACTTACAATTATAATAAAGTATTACAATTCTTGCTATAATGTATCAAAATTGTATCAAGTAACACCAACAAGAACTGTTTATAGACATGTTACACAGTATTGATGTGTATACACAAGCACAAGAACTAATAAAAACTGACATTAGAATTTTTTAAAAACTTCAAAACACTAACTATATTAATTCATTTCTGAAAAACTATAATGATGAAACTTTCACACTAAATTTTATAGTTAAATAAAAAACTTGTACATTACGTTACAAAACCACTGACAAAGTAACAATAAAGATAGATACTCACATACTATTATCTTTTTAAAACTACCAACAGTTATCGTATCGATATCATGATCTGAAATTGACTAGCAAAAATGAAGTGAGTTTTAATCTATGCTTACACACTATATATAGAAAGTAAACTTCTTTTATTTTACTATATATATATATATATATATATAGTCTTTACATACTTTCATTTTTAATTTATAATACATATACCATGAAAATTTGCAATACAAATGTCAGAGAGATAGTAATGCTTAATATAAAATAAAAAATAAGAATAAAAATATTACTAAAGTTTTAATTTTTGAGATCATAACAAATAAATAATTTTGATAAGATCATATTATGAAATAATCAATCAAATAACATAACAGAGTTAAAATTTTAATTATTAGTTGATGAAATGTTGGTATTATTGTCGATAATTGATTTATATTGTTACATTTATAAATTACGCTAGATTTAATTCGATTATTTATTTTTATACAAATGAGCTATATTTTTATCTTAAAAACAATTAATATTTATTATGGAATCAGCCAATCAATTATTGCACTTATTCCCTATATTTCTTATATCTTTTAATTTTACTGTATGTATCTCTATATTATTATTATACTTATGACTAAATAAATTAGTTTATTAATGTATACATAGTTCATTTCTGAATTAGGGATGGTATAGGTACGAAAGTACACACATTTTGCGAACAATAGTGTTTATATTTATAAAGTATATGTTTTCTATATTTTATAATAAATGAAAATTATACATTATTTTTAAATTTATAAAATGTAATTAATCATATAATATTAAATAAAAACAACAAAATGAATTTAATAACTGCTTTAAAGTTTTATGTTACTCGAATGACAGAAGAAAGTGGTCCTGGTATGAAAGTTCTTTTGATGGATAAGCAGACTGTAAGTACAACATATTTTAAATAATATTTAAAACTAAAATATAATCATGTAAAACAATTAAAATTATAAATTTTTGATATATTTATTAACTTATATATGTAAATAAAATGCATTATATCAGTATTATGAAAAGTAGAAAATGAAAATATAATCTATTGAAATTTAAAAAATTTTATTAAATTTTTTATTGTATTTTTTATATATATTGAATTTTATAATATTTTAATAAATATATTTACAAATAATAACATATCTATAAATATATTTATAGAACTCCTTTTTCTATAGGATAAATATCTTTATATCATAAATATAATATCAAATTATTCTTAGATTAATATTTAAATATTATTGCATATATATATATATACAATATACATACAAAATTTAAAGGAAAATTTATATATCTTTTTCAGACAAGTATAGTAAGTTTACTTTATAGTCAATCAGAAATATTCCTCAAAGAAGTTTATTTATTTGAAAGAATTGATACAAATGTTCGTAATGAAGGATTAAAACATTTGAAATGTATAGTTTTTATAAGACCAACCAAAGAAAATGTTGAATATCTTTGTAATGAATTAAAATATCCTAAGTATGGAACATATTATATTTGTAAGTATAATATATTTTTTATTTTTATATTCATTTATTTATTTTTAAGATATAAAATTGTAATCAATAAAATTGTAATCAAAAAACATCACAGTTTATATATTATGACAAAAAATAAAAGTGAAATAAATATTGGTACAAAAATTATTTGTTTCTAAATTACTAGAGGACTTTTTTCTTCTTTAATATTTTTGAATTAATTTGTAATATAATACATATTATATTATATTGTATTATAATATATTTATAAAAATCTGGCAATCAAAAAATATGCACTAAAGGTTTTGTAAAATTAATTTTATAAAATTAATAAATTAAGTTAATAAGTTTTGTTACTTTTCCTTTTTCTTTTTTTAAAAGAATATATAATAAAATCTAAAACTATCTAGAATAACTTATTAATTAAATCAAAAAATATTTTAATGGATTAGGTTGCATTTTAAGTGCATCGAATGAATACAATTTGATTTTTTTATTTCCTTTTTTTTTTTAAGATATCTTGAGTTTTCTTCAATGTTAATCTTTTTTTATTTTTTAATACTATTTTATTTCTGATAGAAAAACAAATTCAATAATACAATATCCTTGAATTAACTTTTATTATTAAAAAAATTATATTAATTTTTTTATTAATTAATTTATAAATAATAATATAATAATATATAAATAATATATAAATAAATTTTTATATTGTTAAATATTTATATAATAATATATTATAAACAAACAATATATTCTATTCTATTCAACTTATTATATTTTATTATTTATTATTATTTAGATTTCAGTAATATCATTGCAAAAGCTGATATTAAGCTTTTGGCAGAAAGTGATGAACAAGAAGTAGTAAGAGAAATTCATGAATATTATGCAGATTATTTAGCAATTAGTCCTCATTTATTTTCATTTGGAATTAATGCATGTTCACAAGGTAATAAATTTTATATTAATGATTTATTTATTTAATTGAAAAGTTTATAAATATGTGTATATGTATTTTTAATAATGTTGTCTATTTTTATTATGTAATGTAAATGAAAAAAGTCCTAGTTCATGCTGCTAATTTTTCTTCGTGTTTCTTATCCTCATGCTTCTTATTTCATTGCATTTCCTATATTCAAAAATATTTCAAAATATTCAAAAAAATTTTATATAGAAAAATATTTTACATTTATAATTAATTTTTTATGGCTCAAGTTGTTTCAAATTAGAGCATTAATTCGATAATATATTCAATAAATAATTTAGATATAAATAATAATATTTTTTGTTTTTTTATTATGTTATATTAAGGTTTGTTATGGAATCCAATACATCTACATAGAACTGTCTTAGGCTTAATTTCAGTATTATTGTCAATTAAAAGATGCCCCTATATACGATATCAAAACAGTTCTGAAATGGCAAAAAGATTAGCAGAAAAAATTCGTGAAGTACTAAGTAAAGAATCAAATTCATTTGAATTCAGACAAGATTCCACACCAGTTTTATTAATACTTGATAGAAGAGATGACCCTGTTACACCTTTATTAAATCAATGGACTTACCAAGCAATGGTTCATGAATTATTAACTATTAACAATAATCGTGTTAATTTATCACATGTAAAAGGTATTTCAAAGGAATTAAAAGAAGTTGTTCTTAGTGCAGAACATGATGAATTTTATGCAAATGTAAGAGTATACTTATCATCATGTTATTTCCATGTATATGTATTTTATATATTTTGGCTCACACTGAAAATCGTCCATGACCTTTATTTTCTTAAAATTTGCATAAAATACACAAGTATGAATTTTTTCTTCTGAAAAAATGGTCTAATTAAATATTGAATATAAAATTAGAATTAAGTATAAAAAAATATTATATCTATATTTCTATTTCTATATAGTTCGAAAAAATGATGGATTAATCATTTTATAAAAATGCATAACAGGAATCATTAATTTACATTTTATCAAAGAAAACATAAATAAATAGATGTTTAGATATTTTTAAAAAATTTAAAATAAAATGCTGAAAAATTTTAAATATATTTTAATATTAAGAAAATAATTCAAAGTACAAGATCATAGTAATAAAAGAATCCTTGTGTATTTTATATATTTACTCAAAGGTCATGGAAGGTGATAGCTTTATTTCTTCAGATTTGAATATAAATATATATATTAATTATTATATATATAATATATATAATATATAATTATTATATATATAAATATATATATAATTAATATAATTATATATTAGATATAAATTATAGATTCATAATATGAAGTATAAATTAGAATTAAACATAAGTGAGATATAAAAAATATTTCAATAATATTTCTAGTAAATATAAAATCTTGTAAAATTAATATATAATAAATTAATAATTGTAAAAAATAATACATTATATTTTACAAAATATTAAGTTTTATATTATATATTATTTTATATTTTATATTTTATAAACTTCAGATTAATATTTAAATTTTATAAATAAAACAAATGGACGACTCTTAGTGTGACCTTACATGTAATTTCTTATGTATTTTTATATATTTTTATATATTACACGGTGATTCATGTAGTATTCATGTAATAAATCATATCTCTTTTTTTTAGTTGAAATTCAAAAAAATATAAAAAAAAACATAAATAACTCAAAATGGAATATTCATGATTATATTTTTTTTTCAAACATAATCTATCTATATTTATAGTTGCACAATATTTTTAAAAATAGATTAGATATTTTCTTCTTTTTTTGTATATGTTGAATTTTCTTATTATTCTATATAAAAAAAATTAACATGATTGAAAAATTAGTTTAAGATATTTAGAAAAAAATGCTTTTAAAGATGTATAAATGGTTTTCCATTTTGTTATAGTATTTATAAAAAAAAAAAAATAATCATTGATTTATATAATATATAAATTTTGAATCATTCATTTAATTTGATATTTTTTTCTAATTTTTTAATCAAAAAAATATATATATATATAAAATTTACTTGTATGAATCATCCTGTATATTGTTCTTTTATTATTATTCTATAAAATTTTATATTTCTAAGTCATTTTATAATAATCAGATTAAAGTATTTCTATATTGATTATAAACATATTTTATTTATGTTTAGTGGATTTTATAGAGACATATAAGTAAACAAGAATAGTGGATGATTTTCAATATGAGCCACTATAAATATAATTTTTTATCTCTTTCATTTTTAAAACAAGAATGTGTTTGAATAGAATTTATATCTGAACTTTGGAGAAATTGGACAAACTATAAAAGAACTGATGGATGAATTTCAAAAAAAAGCCAAGAAACATCAAAAAGTAGAAAGTATAGCTGATATGAAAAATTTTGTAGAAACCTATCCATTATTTAAAAAGTTATCAGGCACTGTTTCAAAACATGTTACGGTAGTTGGAGAACTTTCTTCACTTGTTGAAAGACATCATTTGCTGCAAGTATCAGAATTAGAACAAGAACTTAGTTGTCAAAGTGACCATTCTATGCAGGTGTAGTAAATTTAACAAATTATGTTAAAAAATAAAAAACAAATAATTATTTGTCACTATTATGTTTTCAATGTTATTTAATAATAAATTATATTTTTTCTTTATTATTAAAGTTGCAAAAAATAAAGGAACTTATTAATAATCAACAAATACGAGATATTGATGCTGTAAGATTAGTCATGCTTTATGCACTTCATTACGAAAAATATACAAATAATGATATTAATGGTTTATTGAATTTATTAAAGAGCAGAGCTGTTTCAGAAAAATATATTAAGGTATATAAAAATTATTTTGATTGTATATTTGATATAAGTTTCAAGATTAATAATTCCAAGATTATGATTTAGCTTATATATAGCATATTAGAGTATAGTGGAATTAATGCAAGACAGAGTAATTTATTTGATCGAGAATCAGTAGCTAAGATTACTAAAAAATTATTCAAAGGTTTAAGTGGAGTAGATAATATTTATACCCAACATACTCCCTTATTAAATGAAACTCTCGAAGACTTAATAAAAGGAAAATTAAGTTTACAAACATTTCCATATCTTGGAAATACAGTGATGTCAAAAAGGTAAATTGTAATATATTGTTTTATTTAAATTAAAAATAGAAAATATATTTTTAATATATATATATATATATATATATATACATTAAAATATATATATTTATTTATTTTAGACCACAAGATATTATTGTTTTTATGATTGGAGGAACAACATATGAAGAAAGTTTAACTGTTTATAATTTAAATAAACAAAATCCTGGAATAAAAATTATTTTAGGTGGTACTATTATCCATAATTCTGCAAGCTTTCTTGAGGAAATTCAACAAGCTACATCAGGCATTTTATTAAAATACAAAATTAATAACAATTGAATTATTATATATATATTTTTGCTTTAAATATTTATATTTATTTCTACAACTTGGAATTAGTTTGAATTGTTACATATAATATTTAATAATAATTACACTCTATTGGTAATAATATTAAAAGAAAATTGTAGTAACAAAAAATAAAAAATTATATTAATGTTAAATAAAACTTATCTTTTCAATGTAGTAATTTTCATTTGAACGATTTTTATTTTTGTAATGTTTTTATGTTATTTGTCATTGATAGATATAACTTCTGTAAATACATCTGGAATTTGACTATCCTTTACTGATACCTTTAACAAATATTTATAATTTTAATCTTTATATATTGATCATGATTTATATATAATTATAATGTAAATATAAAATATTCTGCTGGAGAAAATGTCTCTGATTTTTTACATCTAATTGTATAAATATAATAAGATTAAATAATAAAAAATATAAAATACTATTTTTTTTACATACTTGTAATTTCTTCTTATCTCAAACATAAATCCATAGTTGAATAAAAAAGTCTTGATTTATTTATCTCCTATGTCTCAGAGGAATTCTTACCAGCTTCCATTTCTAAAATAATTTTCATAATAAAATAAATTAAATTTATTTTTAATAAATGCTGTATGTATTAAATAATTTTTAAATAAAATAATATTTGATTTTATTTTGATTAATATTTCATTCTAATGCTATTTATTTGACAAAAATAATATTAATTAAATTGTAAATAATTAATTGAAAAAAGTTTACCTCTAATATTCCAGTTGAAAATATGTAAGTTGCCATTACCAAAGTAGTGAATAAACCAGCAAGAAGTTGGTTACGTCTTTTATTAGGAAACTCATTCTGTGAGTATTTTTTTATATTTTGAGCATTTTCTTTGGCTTTATATTCACAACATTCATTTGCAAAATATTTTTCTGATATGCGTGAAATGAATGTTACTAAATTTGTACATGCTTTTAAATGATTTTGAAGTGCTGGATTTGGTAAAGGAGCTTTGAGCAAAGGTGCCAAATAAGAATATACAATAGCATCTAATATTGTAGGTTTTTGACCCAAAAAATATTGTGAATCTCCAAGACTTGTAGATAATAATGTCAAACATTTTTGCGCTTCGGAGTAGACCTACATTCCATATATTATTTATTATTAAAATATATTATTTATTATAAATATTTACTTATTTATATTTATTATTAAAATTTAAAAAATAAAAAATATTTATAAGTACATAGTTTTCAGATTGATTAATTTTATTGATCTTACTATGTTGAATATATTTATATTATTATAAAATAAATAAAAAATTAATAAAAAAAATAAATTGAAATTAAAATATTTTCAAAAAATCAATATTCTATCATTACCTTATTTTCTATAGCAGTTATATTATCTTCTAATGGATATAAAGTTACAAACATATTATGAGCTTGTCGTTCGAATTTTCCTGGATAATAAAAATTAAATGGAAAAGGCAATGCTTTACAATACCATGGTCTTATTAATTCGTTTACATTTTTTTCATCTATCCACCTAAAAAAATTAATATTTTAATTTCAATTTTAATATTATGTAAACAAAAATCAAAATTTACATATTGATTTATATATTAACAAAATTATAATTAATTATTCTTTTAGATAATATATATTATGATGACTTTAGGAACAATAATATATAAATATTCTAAAAAAATTTTATTATCATGTTAAATAAATTTTAGATAAAAAAAATTAAAATTAAAAAAATTTTATTATTGATTATAAATTAAATATCAAACAATCAATTTCTCTTAAAAAAAAACATATCGCATTATTTAATTATTAATTATTTACTATTATTATTAGTCTTAATTATTTTTTATGAAAATAATATAGGCATAAAAAACATATGTTGTTAAGGAATTGTTAAGGAACATCAATAATGTTCAATAAGAACAATAAAATTAAAATTAAATGCTATATTTTTTTTTTATATTTATATTAGCGATTTCGCTAATAAAATAAAGTATTAAAATATTTTATTTTATGGAAAAAATTGAACTAAAAGTATAGAATAGAATAGAATATAGAATAGAAGGATAAGTGCGTGTGCGCAAGAGCGAATATCTGATATATTGAGTGATGTTAACTGCTTATAAGAAGTGCATGTATATTAATAAATAAATAAATTGTAATAATTAATAAATAAGTAATTATAATTAATAAATAAATATTATAAAAAACATTATATAATATACATACCAAATGAACTGTAATGCCGGAAATAATTTTTCTTTTAACATTGTACCATAAGCCATAACCTTTGCACATTGTTTTCGACTTAATTCGTATTCTGTATTATAACGTTCTTTTCTGAAAAATTCTATTATATCTTTGACTGCATTGAATGTTCCATTTCTAGTTTTTAATACAGGTAAACTGCCATTGGGTGTTGTGAATGGATTACCAGCTGAATTGATTTTCAAAGGTATACCATTGAATTTGGCATAAACCTAGGAAAAATGTAAAGTATTAACTAATGTTAATTAACTTACTAATTATCTTATTTGCTTAGTTAATATCAAAATATTTAAATTCACAAAATTAATACTAATAATAATATTAATTTATTAATTTGAAATTAGAATTATAATAATTTTCTTTTTAAGTTGTGATATATATATTATAAAGTAATTTTAATGAATTACGTTTTTACCTATAATTTTATGATTTAATAATAAATAGACCATGGTTAATTAAAAAAAATATATTAATATTAATTAAAAATATATAAAATGTATGAAATTTAATTATATAAAATTATATAAAATCTTTTGAATTATTCTGATTAATTAATTGATTTCTAATTTTTTTCATAATATGCAATTTATATAATTTCTTATGGAGATATAAAAATTTTTATAATACTTATATGCTATGTTTTAGGATTTATCATATACAAAATATTCATCAAACATTTTTAATGACTCTATCTAATATTAATATAATAACTATAAAGCTTTTATTTTTAATTATTATTTAAATATATATGATTCTATAATATATTATAACAATTAATTTATTTAAATACATAAATTATTTATATAAAATATTTATAAGATATTAAAAAGTATATTATAAAAGTTATATCAAACATGTATATTATTCTTATATACATTATTCAAAATTTTTCAATAATAATATTTATATATTACTATTATAACTTTTAAATTTTCATCTTATATATATATTTTTTTTAAATATAAACATAATAAATATTTATTTCGTAGAATATATTTATTTTAAATAACGCTATCATAAATTTATAATATTGAAAATTTAAAGTTGAAAATTAATCTTAATTAAAAATATATTAAATGTAAAATTATTTTAAATGCTATAAAATTAAAAATAAATTAAATTTAAATATATCATGATTACATATATACATATATGTATATATTTATTTATAAATATTAAATTATTCAATTAAAAATATTTTATTTTACATAATATTAATAAACAATTATATTTTATATTTATAAACTAATTATTATTATTCTTATTTTTACAAAATTTAAAAATAATCAAAGCATTCAATAATGCCTATGTCAATAAATTATTAAAAATATAACCTATATAAATTACATACCAAAACCTGTAAACATTCCGTGTCAACTGATGGTAAACCCCAATCACCTTTCCAAATACTTAATTCAAACATGTCCATATTATCAAAAAATAAAAAAAAAAATGTATCATTTAATTCTTTCATACATTAAATATACAATACTCCCACGTGATACTTTTCACCATATAGTAAACAAAGATTTTTCTCGCTATTAAACCGGATATATGGTTTTGTGTTCAGCTGAGAAAGTAATCAATAAATTAAATTGCTAAATTCAAAAAAAAATTTTGTATTACCACGATTTTATTCACTTATATTATTATATATGTATTATATATTATATATATATATATATATATATATATATGTATATACACGTGTACTTACATATTATATGAATGTAATAATAACTATACATATTGATTGTGATTTATGAATTAGATATCTTTAATTAAAGATTGAAATTTATAAAAAATATATGATTATATTTATATTAAAAATTTTTAATTTAATAATTAATTATTAATTATTAAATATGAATTTAATATAATTAAAAAATATTAATTTATTATACTTAGATTTATTAGTAGTATTTTAAAACTTTTTTATATTTTTTTTTGTATTGACTATGGTATAACATATAAAAATTATAAATATATAACAAGTTTTACATTATATTAATATAATGCATCAAGAAAGAAATTATTTTAGATTAATGATATTTTACCGAAGAATATATCTTCTTATATATATTTTCTTACGAAAAATTATTTATTTCAGTTTATGATATTTTTTAATATTACAAGTGATTTCGTAATAGGTTATGTGAAACAATTTGATTGAAATAAGACAAATTTGATGAATTTATAAATTTATTTTAAGATTCAATATATTCATTTTAATTTTTTTTATAAAAATTTCAAATATAAGTTTAAAAAATATATGTATATATATATATATATATACAATTTTTTAGGATGTTTTTCATTCTTATTTTAAATAAATATAAATTGCTGAAATATTTAAAATTATTTAAACTTGTTTTTACTATTAAACTTTTGTGAGTTTTAATAAACTATTAATGAAAAAAGTTAAAAAAAAATTTTTAAATTAGTAAATAACATATATTTACAAAGATTAATGTTTCATTTAATCCCTGATGTTGAATTCTATTTAATAAATTAGAAATAAATGGAAAATAAAAATTAATTTTTTATCAATATTTGGTTTATTTATCAATTACAAAATCATATACTATATATACATCAAATTTCTACTTGTATTATTATGTTTATAGCTATAGAGATAGATAATATGTAAATTAAAAATAAAATATTTCACATTTTCTAAATAAAAAAAAAATTTATAAATTTAAAATCTTAACATATAAATATAAATTCAAAATAAATATATTTATAATAATAGTTTTTTGTTTATTCATTTCACTTTAATTCTAAGATAAATTGTATCATTAATAATTAAATTATTAATTGAATTTCCTAATAGTTTTAGTTTTGATATTATTTATTACATCATAAGTATTTTTTTTTCAACTTAGATTTGCCTAGCTTTTTATAACGTATTTGATTCATACGAGACATTAGCATATACATAAAAGGTAAACAAAATATCAGTAAATATATCTTTAAAAATGATGGGAAATGAAATGCAAAATTCCAGGAATTTGGTAAAGAGATAGTAAATTTTTGTGTCTCTTCAAAATAGGGAATATTTCTTAATATTATAATTCCTTCACAAAGAAAACCTAATGGATATAAAGGCATCCATATTGTATATCTTAACCATTTTAAAAATGAAATTTCTATTTTAAGTAACTGTGTGATGTAATAAGGATATCTCACTATTTCCACTGTACTCCAAATAAGAAAAAGATAAAAAATAACTGGTTTTGTTTGCATACGTGGTTCAGCTTCAATCATAGTAAATAAAATAAATGCTCTGCCTCCAACTTGTATAAATGTTACAAGTGTACTACTTTTAGTATAATCAAATAATGCATGCATAACTTCTAAGAATTGTATAAGTTGTATGAATTTCATTGCATTTCCAACAGCTATATATGTTTCTTTCATAGAAGCTACAATTCAATAATGAGATATATCACTTTAGAAATTATGAAATTTAAAATAAGTAGATACAACTACTAACCTGGCCCATCTCGTGAATACATAATTCCTATTACAGTAAGGATATATATAAAACCAACAAATTGACAAAGATTATAAATAATTAGATATACTTTTTTGAAATCTTCTGTATAAAATAAATAATTATAAATTAGTATTAAAATTTATTTTATTATATATTTATGTATTAAATCATTTTATAATAAATCATACCTTTTCTATAACCAAACTCTTCTTTATGAAGTTTATCATACATGTCAGGATAATCATTACATACATCTCTCTTTTCTTCTTCATTATCATCTAAATCTTCGCTTGTCCATTTATCAAAATCAATTTTTAACCATGATGGTTTTTGTGGTTGACTGGTTAATCTTGGCCACCAAGCAGGACATTTTTTTCCCAATATAAAGTCAACTTGACGAGCTGTTACTTTATAATTACTTTCCTATAATAATTTATTTGTATTATTTATATTTAAAATATAAAAAATGTTCTATTTTTATTAAAAAGTAAAAATAAACAAATTAAAAAAAAATAATAATAATTATATTTAGTAAATTTTAATATTTAATATTAAATTTATAATATTTAATATTTAACTTTAATTCTTAGAAGAAAATAAATCATAAAATAAAGCGATATGAACTATTTTTTATTTAAAATTTATTGCAGATATCTAAAATTTCATTATTTCTTAAATTAAATGAAATGAAAATCTATCATTTCTTTTTTTTTTAGGATGATATATTAATTTTTTCTTTATTTTCATATTTTCATTATTTAGTTAGATTTTATTGAATTTAATAATATTTATTTCAAATATTTGATATTATTTTGTATAATTGATATAATTTTTGTATAATTAAAGAAATATGAAAATGAATTTTTAATAATTGTGATAATGATAATGATGATTATAAACTTTTTAAATGGTAAAACATTGAAATGTTATATTAATTTTTTTTATAATAAATTACAACTATAAATAAATGTGATATATTTTGTATACTATATATTTTGATATAAAATATCGTAAATTCATAGTGATTAATAACAGAAATAAATAAATAAATAATTAAATTACAGGTATATTTATGGGCATGAATCCTAAAGGAACTCTATTGTTAACAAACATTTTAATATTTTAATTCAAATGATCTAAAATTTTAAAAAATGATTTCATAAATCAAAATAAACAAAGAAAAATGAAAACTAAATCCAACAATTAATATACCTATATATTTTATATTTCAAAAATTCAAAAATATTATTCATATAATATTAATTTCAAAAATATTATTCATATAATATTTAAAATTTAAATTAATCAATAAATTTGTGGATATATTAAAAAATATTCATTTATCTATCACAACTTTTTTATTTTTATGTTATATTATTATCTAATTTATTTTATTTTTTTTAAATTCCAAATTATATTATTATGTTTTTATTATAATTTTTCATAACTGATAAATACTAATTTTAAAATAATTTTAAAAACTATTTTTAAAATATCGAAGTTCTTAATCCTAATTTAATTATACTAATTTGCCTCATCATTTAATGAACATAGAATCTTGGTTATTTTTAAAATATTTTTTAAAATGAAATCAATAATAATTCCGATTTTATATGTATTTCACAACTTAATTTTTTTTATTTATATTTTTTTTATATTTATAAAAAAAGTTAAAACTTGATATGAAATATATTTAATAATCTTTTATCTTTTTTAGAATTTGTAAGTTTTTTATATTACTAATTATATATTATTATAAATAAAATAAATAATAATGCACAAAAAAATTTGGAACAAAAAGTATAATGAAACTTACTAAAACATGCATTAAATAACTTTATATATTTTTCACAATGATTGCTTCAATAATATCCAATGGTTTTAATAAAATTTAAAACATAAATATATATATAATAATCATAATCAAAATCTTAATTATAGATCCAATCAATTATAAATAAAACTCATATAAAATTTGTAAAATGACATGAGCATTGAACTTTTAAGTAAAATAAATAAGAATAGAAAATAATTCATATATCAAACATTTTAACATTTGATATTATAATTTAAATCTTGGATAAAAAATAGAAAATCAAATGCTTTTATTATTTCATTACAACACACATTGTTCTTGTAATTTTTTCAAACTTTACATATATTTTATTAATTGATTAGAATAGTAATTATGACTATAATTATTATATACATGGACCTACTAATGTACTAATTTTATTGAAATCAGAGAAACATTTCTAAAATGTAATAGCTTTTGTGAAATTTATATATTAGACTGTTACTAATATAAATCATAATCATATAATTTATCTAAACAATATACATGTTACCTCAACATTAATAGATGAATGTAAATCCAAGCTAAATCCATATTTATTAAGACCTCTAGCACCTTGCCCATAAACAGTAACCTTTAATTTGTTTTCATTCATAGAAACTTTAACACGCTACAAAGTATAGTTTGATCTATACAAACCTATAAATAATAGAATGCACATACTAGAAATTACATACCCAAGTATCAGTCAATTCTACCTTTAATGTAATTTGATGTTCTGTTTGAGCCCAATATACAAATGGTGTTAAAATATCAGCCATTTTTTCATTGTATGTTTTTATAAATATAAATTTTGACTTTTATTTATATAATAAATTAATAATTCGTTTTAAACCAATAAAAAATTAATAATTTTAACTTTCAAATAATCTTCATTATTATATATATATAGATTATTGTAAATATATATATATATATATATATAAAATGTATAAAATTGTTAATTGACTGATATAAATAAAGAAAATTATATATACTAACGAATGTTAGTATCAACAGTCAATAATATTTAATATTTAACTTGAACTATATAAAGATGCAAGAACTGCATACCTCAATTTTAAAATCACTTACTAATTTCATACCAACATAAATAAGTATTGTTTTTCTATTGTCTTAAATTTGAACTTTTATTTTTATAGTTATTATGAACTTTATATTTATGTATAAATATTTTTTATTTTATTAAGATAAAATATAAAAGATAAAAATTCTTATATTTTATTTAAAAATTATTTATTTAATAAAATTTATATATTTGTAATTTTTTGAAGGAACGCTGATTGGTTAATGTCTAGTTGATTATATATGTATAAAATATAAAATATGAAATATATCGTTAGTATTATATAGGGGAATAAATTTTAATGATGTAATGAAAAACTTTGCATATCTTTACTATTTAACAAGCTAATGATAAGACATTTTTATAGATGTAGTTTGTACGTATTCACACTTATCAATATATATAGAAAGTTCTATAGGTTATAGTTCTATATGTATATAAATGTAAACGTGTTACTGTAGTCGAATTGACAATTTGATTAAATTGATTAAAAATATCAACTTTTTTAAGTGCACATGCTAATTATCGATTGTTTAAGATACTACAAAGCAATTAATTTTTTATTCAAATGTATGTTTTATGATGATTTGAATAAGACATTTTCTTTTGACTCAGCACTTAGTCACATTCATATTTTAAGGTTAAAAGGTAATTCAATTATAATTTATTCTATCTTATTATATTATATTATATTGTATTTAATTTTTCATTAAAAAGAATTGTATTTTAAAAATATATTTTTTTTGCACGTATTTATTTAAATAATATTATATAAAATAAATTTTCAATACTGAAATATGTTTTCATGGTTTAGTTTCACGTGCGATTTATTGATATGTATTTATTGATTATATATATTTTAGAGATTTTAAATAATATAATTCTCACAGTTTTTTACATTAAAATTTTATATATTCTAAAAAAAAATGTTAAAACGAAATTCTACATGTGATATGAAATAAATTTAATGAAGTATAAGATTAATAATTAATATTAAATTAGGTTGTAAACACATTTAGAAGAAATCTTAATTGTTTATTATATTGTTTGTATATTTTTTAAAAAAATATATTATTTGAGATATAAATAATTTATAAAATCAATAAACCGTTATAGATAAAAAACATAAAATCAGTTTTGATATTAAAAAAAAATTAATAATAAATAAAATAATTAAAAAAAATAATAAATATTTTTAATTATTTTATTGAAAATTAATTTTTTTTATATTTTAAATATATATAAATATATATTTTGGAATAAATTATTTTAATATTATAATAATATTTTGATTTCAAGTTATGTGAAGATATTGAGATATTTTCTTATATATTAATAATGTATAAGATGATCTATATAAATGAAAATAACAACTTTTTTAAGTCAAATGGGATTAAACTTTTGAAGAGCTTTTATCAAATTGAATAAATATTATATTTATTTCAATTTTAATGACAAATTATTTTTTTTATTATGCATAATTTATTTTTTTTAAATGACAATTTATTTTAATGACAAATTTAATGATAAGTAAAATTCAAAATATTATATTTGTGATTCATTACATTATAATTATATTATAATTTTAATTTATTGCATATATATTTATAATTTTTATCAATTTTTAGATATAAGTATAATATATATATTTTATATATATATATTTTTATAAATATTTTTATAAATATGTATATATATATTTTTATATATATATTTTATATATATAAAAATTATATATATTTTTATATATATTTTTTATTGTAATTTATTTTAAGTAAGTATGTTATTTTATATAAATATAATGATGTCATTGTTTGATATTTATACATACATGTTATTTTGTGAATTATATGGTATATATGGCTTATAATATATATTTAAAAAATAAACTAAACTATATACTACTATAGTATATCTAAAACATTGAGATCATTTATAATTTATAATAATTGTAAATAGTTGTAAATAGTTATTTATATTTCTATTACTATGTAAATTATATGCAAATGAAGTATATTGCAAATAATTGTTTGTATTTAAATTGTTTTTCAAAATGATATAATGTCAAATAAATTTTATTTATATTGAATAAAAAATAATAATATTAAAAATAATTATATATATTGAATATATATACATATCTATAGTGTGTCATATTTGTATTTACATTTATTTCATATAGTATATGTTTATGTTGTTTTAGAACATGTAACTTAATATTTCAATAAATATTTAATATATATTTAATTTTTTGATAATAGAATAGAATAAATAATAGATATAAAAAAAATCGTTTTATTATATAATCATACTTATTTATTAAAATTATGTATTTTTTTTTATATGATATGACACAAATTACAGAATTCACTATATATATTTAATACATTTTTATTATTTTAAAATTAATATTTGTAGTTTATATTATAAAAATGATTAATAATTTATGTTGGAATGGAAATGATTATTAAAATTTTTTATGTTTACAACAGTACTAGTATTAGTAACAGTATTAGTAATTAATGATGTAAAATGATTGATACAGTTTAACAGCTTTTTATAAAGGAAAGTAGATCGAAAGATGAGTATTATCTCCAATATAATTGTTACCAGTTTTGTACAGAATTTTTTATATGGATAACAGAAGCTTAATGAATTCTACAATGATGCCACTTTTATGAATTATCACAAACAATTTAAAGGCTTACTAAAACATCACCTGCAAATTTCAGGAAACAGAGCAAATATGGTATAGAATGTATTCATATACAGTATGCTGTTTATTATTAAAAAAAAAAATTTAAATCATATTTAATTTATGTGTAAAATTATTAATCTAATATTATATAATTAAATTAACTTCTTATACATAATAAATGTTTTGGAAAAATTATATACATAATATGAATCGTAATAAGTAAATAATTATACTAATCTATTAATAATAAAAATCAATTTTAATATTATGTATAAATATCAATTTTAATGTTCTTATAAAGAATCTTCTTAAATTATACAATGAAGATTTTATATGAAAAGTTTTTTTTGTTGAAATTAATTTATGTGAAGAAGTTTTTAGAATTATATTTTATAATAAGAATTCCTTTTTTAAGTATATATTCTTCTATTTATAATTTTTTATAATTTTTTTATAAATTATTTTTTATTTTTTACACATGAAATTCAATTACAAATATATGTATAATAAAGATAATAATTATAAAAAATAATCATTATTATTTTATATATTATTTATTATTTAATTGACTATTAAAAATTGTTAATAACATTTTTATTAATTTTATTATTAAAATTCATTAATATAATTAGATTTAATGTTATTAATTTTATTTAATTTATATTTAAAATATATTTTATCAATATCTTACTTATATTTTTTTTAAATGTATAATTGTTTTAATATAATATTGTTTTAGATTATTGTATATTAATTAATTTGATATTTTTTATTTTTGTATTAATTGTATTTTTGTATTAATTTAAATTTATTAACATTGTGCATCAATTGATAAAATGTTTTATTAAATTAATATTGAATAATAAGGATTATTATTGTAACATCATATGTGATATAACTATATATATTCTATTTATTTTTAACATATTATATATGTTTTTTATTGTTTTACTTATTAAATAAATGAAAATTTTAAAAATTTTTTCAGAATAATCAGTGAGGAAGTATCATGTTGGAAAATACCACTGCCATTCGACGTGTGAAAGATTCAAAACCTGTTAATGGTGCTCAACAGAATGTGGAAGAAAAAAAACCTGCACCATTTTCAGGAGATTTAAATAATTTGAATACTGAATTATATGTAGATTCTGAACATTTAACATTATGGCAACATCCAATTACTACATTGAATTATTTTTTCCGGGAACTTTTTAGTAATATAGTTAGACTAGGAAAAAAGGCATTACATTATAAAAAGACAGTATGGAGCATAATTTCAATAATAATATTATTTCTGATATTAAGCAGAATTTCTGGTCCACATCAACAGGTAAATTTTGAAACATCAATATATATACAAATAAGATTGTACACATATACATATAAATAAGATTATTGGGAGATATAAATTTTTATGTAATTATATTTAATTATTATATAAAATTAAAGTTGAAAATATAAAAGCAAGTTGAAATTGTGTATCTTCTTGTTTTTATTTTACATAATGTTTGTCTTTAAAGGATACAATATTTTTATATTTACAGATATTAAAAGCATGGGAAACAAAAGTGATTTGGTGGTTATATTGGATAGGTTTAGGTGTTCTTTCCAGTGTAGGTCTTGGAACAGGTTTACATACTTTTGTACTCTATTTAGGACCACATATAGCAGCTGTTACTATGGCTGCATATGAATGCGGTGCTCTTAATTTTCCTGAACCACCATATCCTGATCAAATAATATGTCCCACAACAATTGATCCAATGTGGACAGCAGGTATATTAAATATTATGAGAAAAGTACGGGTAGAGGCTATGCTTTGGGGTGCTGGTACTGCACTTGGTGAACTACCACCATATTTTATGGCTAGAGCTGCTCGGACCAGTAGACAAAATAATAGGACAGAAGAATTTGATCAAGAAGATTTAAAAGAATTAGAAGCTTTAGAAGCTTTAGAAAATGGTGAAAATATATCATTATTAATTCGGCTAAAATTGACTATGAAACACTTTGTACAAAAAGCGGGATTTTGGGGAATCCTTGCCTGTGCTTCAGTAAGTAAATTATTTCCTAAAATATATATATATATTATCATCAATATATAAAGTCAAATAATAAATATATGTTCAAATTATTTTTTTATAATTAATATTTACAAAAAATATTTTTTAGATTCCTAATCCATTATTTGATCTTGCTGGTTTGACATGTGGTCATTATTTAATTCCTTTCTGGACATTTTTTGGAGCTACACTTATAGGGAAGGCGATTATAAAAATGCATATTCAACAACTTGCAGTGATTATAGCTTTTAATGAAGAACTTCTAGATAAATTTATAAAATTGCTTGCAATTGTACCATTTATAGGTTCTAAATTTCAAGAACCATTGAAAAAATACCTTATTGAACAAAAAAAAAAGTTGCATGACAAGACATCAATGGTATGATCTTAAATATCTTTTTATATATAATAATGCATGCATATATTTTTAAATTTCTACTTTGTTTTTAGGATGGAGCAACAACAATTTCATGGTTGTTTGACAAATTTGTAATATTGATGGTATGTTACTTTTTGGTAACAATTATTCATGAATTAGCAAGAAATTATCATCGTAAGCGAAATAAACGATGTACTGATTAAAATTCAATGAATATAGGATGTATAATGTAAATGTCAAATCAATTATAAAATTACAAACAGGTGAAGTTGCTATTACAGTGCAGTCTAAGTAAGGTACTACTACTAATAATAATGATGGTGATGATAATAATAATAATAATAATAATAATAATAATAATAATAATAAATAATAAATAATAATAATAACAACATTAATAATAATTATTGTGGTCGAATTTTTAAATGCACAATTTCACTTTTGCAATATAAATAAATTGTGAAGAATGAAATATGAAAAAAATATAATTTTTTTTTAAATTTTAGTTTTCTAGGATTTCAAAAATGTTGAAAATATCTTTACAATAACATATATGTATATATTTAGAATTATACATATATATATACTTTAGAAAAAATTTTTATACATATATACGTAGTTTGCATATTTTATTTTCGCTATTAAAATTATAATTTTTAATTTCAGAAGTTTTTGTAGAATTTATAATGTTAATAATATTAATGATTATGTAATGCGTTAAAAAAACGGCACAAATCTGTTTAGGATATATGTTATTTTATAAAATCTCAAAAATTTAATTATTTTAGATATTCATAATAATTGAGTAAATACATTTTATTAATGCTCTTTAATATTATCTATTGAATTTGATAGATAAATAGTATAAATTATGTTTAAATATTGATTAAAATAATTTCTTTTTTCTTGTTGTTGTTTTCTTTATATATAAAGTTATGAAAAATATCAATCTTAAGATATTTTTTTAAGTTATACATATATACATACATATTGTTAATTATATGATTTATTTACAAAACAAACTTAAAATCTTTATTTGCATATATAGCCTTTTAATAAATACTAAAGTGATTTTTCGTGATTTCATAGAAATTATTTGCTTTTTACATAAGAGTGTAATGGCGTTTATCTTTTAATTATATGCATTTCTATATTTCATTATAATGCATTTATATTTACAAAATGTATGTAATATTAATTGCAATTTAAAAATTTTTCTAAAATGATAAAGATATAAATGAAAGTTAAAATCTTTTAAAATTTAATCTTTTTATTACTTTAAAAATATTTCACAGAATTAAATTTCCTGGTTAAATATTCATAAAATAATTTATTTTAATACATCATATTTGATTGATATTAATTATTTATATTATATTTTATAATTTTCAATGATATAAATAATTTTATCATTGTATATGATTCTTGATAAAAGAGTTATTTTAAAATATTTTGATGGAAAAAATAAGTACAAATATTCTTTTTAAATAAATAATAATTTTAAATATAATAAAATATTAAGAATAAAAATGGAACGTTATAAAAATTACATATTTAGAAATAATGTGTGTAAACTTATATGTTTGTATTCTATATGTGAATAATAATTTGTAATTTATATTATATAATATATAATAAGACTACTACTATTGACTATTATTCAAGGATATTTTTTTGAAAATAGAATATTATAAATACAAAAATATATATATATAAGAATTTATTAAGATATATTTGTAAATGCATAAAAATTAAATTAGTATTAATATAAATAATATAAACAATTTTTATTAATTTAATAATTAATAAGGAATGCTCAATTTTATATGAAAACATGAAAAATCATTTCATTTTAAATCAAATTGTTAATCATTATAATTTTATAATATAAATTGATGCATATATTTAATTTCTTTATATACATGCAAATTAAAATAAACAATAAGAAATTAATTTAAATAGAACTACAAATGTATAATATGCATTAAATTTAAATTTATTTTAAGTAAATATCAAGATGTAAAAGGTAAGATCATTTTATAATAAATATAATATTAAATGTAATAATTATTTATAATTATAAAAGAAATTTTTCACTTCTATCACAACATTTTTAACCTTTTCTTTCGTATAGCATTCATCTGCCACGTATACTATGTTCAACTCGACGATAGATCATTTGTTTTCATTCAAATATCAATTAAAACAGACGATTGCCTTCATTGTATTTATTCGACGATGAATGATTAAAATCGATGATTATACCGAAGAGGTTAAAAATAAAATTAATTTCGTATTAAATGATTCTTTACAAAAATAATAGATGAATGAATAATAGATCAATTTTGAAATCTATTTCGAAATCTAATTATTGCTGATAGATATTATACAATAAATATTTTTTACTAATAATATATGTAATATTTGACTACATTATATAATTTATTAAATTTATCGATAGAGATAATCAGCATGAATATTGCTAGCAATTTCTGATTCCCATTTATCTCCATTATTTAATAGTTTTTCTTTATTATATAATAACTCCTCATGTGTCTCTGTGGAAAATTCGAAGTTGGGACCCTAAAATAATTCATAAAATTAATATTTTAAATTATACGAAATTTTCCTTAAATTTAAATATGAAGTTAAAAACAATATAGTAATAATATTAATTTTAATAATACTATTTTTCTATAAATGATCTAGATGATGATTCTCGATAAAGAGCTAATGCCATTATTTTATCACAATAATTATTATAGAAATAGTTTTATAATTGTAATCTTTATAAACATTACAGCAGATCATATACAAATATGAGATCATTTAGATAGAGAAATATTTAGATGATATTATTTTTAAGTTTAAAAAAAATCATTCTATAATTGTGCAATATTTGTTATTACCTCTACGATTGCATCCACTGGACAAGCTTCTTGACAAAATCCACAATATATACATTTTGTCATGTCTATGTCATATCTTGTTGTACGACGAGATCCATCAGCTCTCTCCTCTGCTTCAATAGTAATTGCTTGTGCTGGACAAATAGCTTCACATAATTTACATGCAATACATCTTTCTTCTCCTGATGGATATCTACCAAAATAAATTGATTATGTTTTATATATTATTTTGCATATAAAATGTTTTGCTTTGAAAATCATAATTTTAACATCAAGAATTTCAGAATGAAACATAAATATAATTCTAAATAAAATAATATTAATATATTAAAATTTAATCTAACTTTTTACTAACTAATTAATTTTTAATTATTCTTTTCATTGTATACGTAACCAATATCATAATTTATAGTATATTAAGCATTTAAAAATTTTATTCAAATCCATAAACATTTTGATAAGTCATTCAGTTTTAAAAGAGAATAATAATATTCATTAATTTTTTCAAAAAAGATTTAGTACTTATTTGTAATTTAATAATATTATATATAATATTATAATTTACATAACTTTCGATACCTTCTTAATGCATGTTCACCTCTAAATCTTGGACTCAAAGGGCCTTTTTCAAAAGGATAGTTTATTGTTGCAGGTTCAGTAAAGAAATGTGACATTGTAATTCCTAAACCTCGTATGATTTCTAACAAGAATGATTTATTTACTGCAGCATCAAGAAATTTTTCTTTCTCTTCCTTTATGTAAACAGGAACATATTTAGTTCGACGTAAAGGTACATTTAAAATTTTTGGATATGTTTGAAATAATTTTAAACCTGTAATAATATTTTAATAAAGTTATGTATATAGTAAAATATGTAATATATGTATAGTAAAATAAAATATTTTATAGGTTATATTATGTATATTATATCATATATATTATTTTATATAAAAAATTAATATGCAATAAAAAATAAAATAGTTTTTTGGATTCACCTGGTTGTACACTTTTTAAAAATGTCATGTTTTAAAAAATTTTAAAAATAATCTTATTTGGTGCAATCAGTTTTCACAATGTACCTATATTTTCACATTCATTAATTAAGACTGAAAATAAATCAAGCCAAGAATAAAATTGCCAGAACAGAATTACTAGATTCTGGGACAAAATGGCTGCCAATGACATGACAGAGAATGAAACAGAAGAATCGCAGAATGCATCATTTCACATAGTACCATTAGTCCAGAGATAATAACCAATAATATCGTATTGTTATTTTTATTCTTTCATCCAATGGGATATTGTTCATTACTTTTATTCTCTCTGTCAATTATCAATGGCAATCAAATGTCAATTGGCAATCATTTTGTCCCGATATCTGACTATAATCAGATAATTATTTCATATTTATAATTTATTATTCAATTTATAATAATTATTTCACATATATTTATTAACCCAATATAAGGACTTTATTCGTATATTATTGACATCTATATTACGTTACGAAATTAAGTGAATGGAAATAAACAAATCAAATTATGTGATATATAATACAATAAATCATTTCAATTAATCCATAGTGATAAAAATGTTGATAAAGAATTAAAAAATAATAAAAATGGCAGAATTAATAGCGAATTTAAAAGTGGTAAAAAATAAAATTACTATTGCTTCTGCTAAAAGATTACCAGTATGTATTATTAAATATTTTATAAATTTATATATTATAATTAATTTAAAAATATATAAATTAATAATAATTTTTAATATTTTACTAACAGGAGTATAAATATTTTGAACCACGTTTGGTAGCTGTAAGTAAATTAAAACCAGTTGAATTAATTGTTGATGCTTATAAAGCTGGTCAAAGACATTTTGGAGAAAATTATGTTAATGAATTATTAGAAAAAGGAAACGATCCAATTATTTTGGAAACATGTACAAATATACATTGGCATTTTATTGGCCATCTTCAACGTAATAAAGTAAATAAGTTATTGAGTGTTCCCAATTTATATATAATTGAAACAATAGATAATGAAAAACTTGCATCAGCAGTAAATACTTCTTGGATTAATTATAGGAAAGATGAAAATTTAAAATTAAAAGTGATGGTACAAGTTAATACTAGTAAAGAGCAAGGTAATATATATTATGATTTTAATGATTTGTTCAGATTATATTTTATCTGAGAATAAAAAATATCAAAAACAAAAAATTTACACAAATATTATGGTCAAAAGTATTATAAAAGAAAAGTTATATCAAAAGTTTATGTTATAAATTTTGTTTCATTTTTAAGTAAATAAATTAGTAAGTTACAATTATCAGAATCATTCTAATTTTAAATATGAAATAATTTTAAATAATTATTTTTAATAGAATAATTAATTATATAAAATTAAATATATAAAAATTATATATTTATATTTTCAGAAAAGAATGGTTGTGAAATTACAAATGTTTGTCCTCTTGTTCAGCATATTATTGATAATTGTAAAAATTTAGAATTTATAGGTCTTATGACAATAGGTATGTTTGGATATGATTGCAGTAAAGAACCAAATCCTGATTTTTTATGTTTAAAAGAATGCAGAGAAAATGTTTCAAAAGAATTAAATATTGATTTAAAACAAATTGAATTATCAATGGGAATGTCAAATGATTATGAACATGCGGTAATTTCAATTAGAATATATATATATATATATATATTTTTAAAAATATAAATAAAATATAAATGAAATTAATATTATATAGGTGGAATTAGGAAGTACCAATGTTAGAGTTGGTACTGCCATATTTGGAGAAAGACCAAAAAAGAATATTTAATGAAATTATATTTTCATTGTATATTATGACGTATAGAAATACAAAAATATACATAAAATATGTTTTAAATCAATAGAAAGCTTTCTATAGTGATAGAGGATGAGGAAAGACAAATATGTATTTCTATATTCATTTTGTTTCCAATCATGAGACTATGTGACTGCTCATACGATTATATGCATTTATTCAAAATTATCAAGAAATCGAAATTTTTACTTCAAAATTGACAAAAAAAAAAAAAAAACTGCGTTTGATTGCAGTGGAAGTATAGTCGTTATTTTATTATCATGACTTTCTACATGAAAACCTTAATATTTTCGATGACGCTAAATTCAAATCAATAATATCTCTGTGCTAAACTATTCAAGAATTATCCGTAGACGAGAATAGATCTAACATTTAATAATATTTTGTGTCCCATATTTTGAAATAGTGATTACACAAAAAAAAACAGAATGTTTGATATAATCTTTACGATTTAAAGTGATAAATATGAGAATTATATTCAATTCAATAAAAGTTGATAAAATAAATATTTTAAAATATTTCAAAATATTTATATTTCAAAATATTAATAATTCAAAATATTTTAAAAATAATTTTTTTAATACATTTTTTCATAAATTTTTTTAGTAATTATTCGATATAGGAAAGTCTTTATCTATTTTGTTAATTTTTGTTAATACATTATAAATAATTTGGACATGTTAGAAATCAATATTTTGAACAACTTTTTTCTTTATTTAGACATATTAACGCCGCTTTGTCTTAGTTTTCTAGATATTTGCAAGAAACTTGATATTGCATTGAATTTTGCCTAATATATATATATATAATATATATATAATATATATTGCGATATTTTTAAAGTTTATACATCTGCGATATATAAAAATGGAAATATATAAATATAATATATATATAAAATATGTATATAATATAAATATATATAAATAAAATATATAAGATATATAAAAATTAGATTGAATAGATTTTCTTATAATTTTTAATCAATAATTGATAAAGATGACAATAAAATTAATCGGATATCAAAGTTGATATCTCTTAAGCGAGGAAGTTTTACAAAACGGATATAGACGAAGGAAATAAAATAAGAAAAAGATAGAAATAGAATAAAAATTTGGGAATTAAGTCATCTTTTGAAAGTCATTCTGCCGCAAATAAAACTCATATATAAGAACAAATATATATATAAGAACAAAAAAGAGGATAAGAAAAAACGGAGATAAGAATTGACTATTAGCGTCATTGACGTCTCGAATGTAACGATATCTTTTTAAAAAATATGTTTCTAAAAATTTTAAAAGATGGCGCTGATTTTAAATTCTCTACCTTATTCTTTGAAATATTGGACAAATCAAGAGATGGCGTTGAAGATCAATTCTTATCTCTCTATCTATTTTTTTCTTATTTTCTATCTTTGATATTGAGTTTCATTTGCGGCATTCTAGAGATGGCGTTGATTCCGAATTTTTACTCTATTTCTATCCTTTTTCCATTTTTTTTCTCCCACATTTGCTCTCTTTATGCTTGCTTTTGGTATGTGATCATACGCACGATCCAAAAAAAAAAACAATTTATTATTGAATTTTAATCATTAAGTTCAGTTTATTCTATACAAATTAATATATAAATATTTATATACGTTAGTCCTTTTTAAAATCTTCAATTAATTTCTTTAATATTTCTAATCCTTCGCCATTAGCTTTACGATAACCTGGTGCGAGTGATTTTATCCTGTTCATCCATTTACCAACATTAGTATATCTCTCCACTTCGAAACCGAAAACCTATGATCAATAGTCATTATTTAATTTCTGAAATAATATTTAATTTTTAAACATAGCTTTCTAATACCTCTGCTGTCGATACAGTGGCAGCTAAAGCGAGATCAGCGATAGTTAAATTGCGTCCAGCGGCATAATCTTGTCCATCCAGAAATTTATTCAGAACGTCAAACGCGCCTTCGAATACTTTATAACATTCAGGATTATAATCCTTTGTCTTTCCAAACGCGACTGGATACTGAAATAAATTTGTTCCATTTCAAACAGAAAACAACGAAAAAACAAATTTTTTAGATAGTAACTTTGTTGAATCTTTTCATCTAGAAATATTCTAAATATAATAAATATATATATAAACATTTCTTTTGAATACTTACGTAATAATCCTTCATGCCTCTGTACAGAGTACCGATATCAAAATGTAATCTATGATTGACTAAAGCTCGGCCAACTGGTGTTTGTGGATACAGGCGAACATTTTTACCATATTGATCGGCTAAGTACGACATAATAGCTCGACTAATTGCGAAACGAAACGATGATATAAGAAATGGAAATAGAATTAGATAATATTAATTATCATGATGTATGATTCATTAATATACAAACCTTTCCGTCAGTTTATAATCACCGTCTACGAGAAATGGAATAGTTTTCTGCGGATTTAACTATAACAGAATATAGTAATCAGACTATAGCAAAGTATAATTATATTACTTTAAATTTGAGATCCATCGTGGATAAAAAAAAAAGAAAACGAATATATATATATATTTATATTTTCATCGTACTGACTTGTTCATATTCCGGTTTCAAATGTTCATTTGCAAATATATCGATTTCCTTCAAATTTAAGGAGATACCGATGGCTTCCGCAGCCAAGAGGACTGTCCTGCAAGGTGAACTTATGGGCATGTAATACAAATCCAACGACATGATCACACTTATCCAACTAAAAAAAAAAATATTACGTTTCGATACGTGTATTAAATAAATAATATTTAAGGATTATATAAGGATGATACAACACAAATATTATATAATACAAAAATTATATTTCCTTTTTTTCCAGCTACTAGTTTTTCAACTAGAAGATTTTCAATACCTCAAGAAAATCGATATCCATACACGCACAAAGTTATGGAATTATCTTGTGTAAATAATTTCCTGTGTAATTGCGCGTGTAATTCGCGTTGAATTTCATTCGTTCGTTCGTTCGTTCGTTCGTTCGTTCATTATTCAAACAATGCCAAGAATCCTCGTTCTAATTTTGCTCTGCAAGAGTGAATTTTATCCCTCGTTACGGAATTTATATATAATTCCGTGTATATCCGTAATTTTTTTTTTTTTTTTTTTTCAATCGAACGATAATCGACGAAGCATTATTTTTCAATCGTGCCCGTGTTACGTGTACTTGAATCCAGTGTATTGTACGACTATGTGTATTCGCCATTAACGAATAATCGATACGTGCAAGCGAGATGGTTCAAGTATACGTACGAAAAGAAGAGAGACGAATTTAAAAAAAATAATTACACGAATTGAACTTCTTTAAAAAACGACAACTATAATCAATCTTCTACTGTTTCTTACCTGAAATCTTTTTAATTCAGACGTTGTTGCTTCGATGGAAATTCGGTATTACGAATTATCTTGTTGTCTCTTATTGTTAATATAACGACATGCGAAGAGATGATTATCAATTTGTTTTGTAACAACAATAAGTTTATAACGGATCTCAAATGATTATTATTTGTTTTTTTTAAGAAAAATTTCGTACGAATGAGGAAGGAAAGGAAATGTACTGTTTTATTGGAGAATCGAGAGTGTAGAGTTTGTGAGCTCGCTCGCTCGATCTATAGCTATATTCCAGTACTATATATATATATATATATATATATATATATATGCGTGTATATGTAATTTTAAACAGGCTTCGAACGATGCTGAAATTTATTGTAAAATGTTTATTATTTATATATTTTGTTTCAAGGTGATAAGATTGGAAAGTGTCTTTTCTTTTTTCTTTTTTAACCTCGTCGGGGAAGAATTTTTAATCACGGGAAGAAAGAGGAAGGAAATATCGATTAAAGAGTTTTACCAACCATTGTACTGTAATTAAAACGTAGCTGAAACCGAGATCGAGGGTAATTAGCAAATGAACATCGAAACAAAAGGATGGCCACTGCCGAAGTAAATTGGCCGCATTGCGAACACCAAGTGGCTTCTATAATTACAAGGTTCATTAATTTGCTGTTCGATGCTGATTCCACTATTTACCGTATGGTAAACGCGATAATGTTGATAATCTTCCAAATGAAATTATAAAATACTCGTAATATTCTCTCGAATTTTAATACAATTTTTTTAAAATTGTCAAAAAAAAAAAAAATACGCGATGTACACGTGTGATTTATTTTTCCTAAATTTTTATCCATTACTGGATCCATCGTGGTGAAATTTTTCGCACTCGGGAAATTATCGGGGAAACGGAATGGACGGAAGTCAATATCGATATTTTTTCGATCGAGAATTATCAAGAATTACAATGTGGAAACATAAGAAGAGAAATAAATTCGATTGGAAAATTATAATTAAAATTCAATCCCCGAAAGGATGAACCAACACTTTATTCGTGTAAAATCATTGTTCATATAATAATAAAAAGCGGAAAGGAATTATAATATAAACGCACAATAAATTATCCCATCCCATCTTCGGTTTACTTTTTCGACAACTTTTCCTCCACCAAGGCTTTGAACATTTTTAATCCACCGTTGTTGTACTCTTCGTATTTCGGTATCTCAGATTTTATCTTTGCGAACCATCTCGTAACGTTCTTATATTTGCCGAGATCGTAGTCCATGACCTGTTATGACAACGATAATACGATTATTATTAAAAATTTTTAAAAGAAATATAATCTCATAGATCGAGTAAATAAAAGTGATTCTTTTATCGGAAAAAAGAAAAAAAAAATGTGATATTTCCCAACGTGATCGAATCTTGGAAAGATCTACGTAACGACGCGTCTGTAATGTATTATTACGTATACGAAAATTTAATAGTCGAAGTTACGAATAAAGTCACCTCGATAATTTTATCGTTCGAAACGTAACGATGATCGCAAATAATTGTAATGGGAAACGGGCGAGATTATACGAGAAGTTACGGATCGACAATGATACAACAGTTACGAACGATGAACGATTATTCGAGCGTTTTGACAAATAATTACTCGAAGCAACGTTATTCGAGATTTTTAACTTTTACTTTTTTCTCAACTCTGCACTCGCAATACACAATCGTTGAAATGAAATATTACATGCAAAAACACTTAACAATCCACTTAGAAAAAATTACACTCGATTTACGATTTTCAAACGTTTTATCATACGTATGAAGGAAATTTCGATAAGATAACATTATCAAGAGTATTTACCTCTATCGTCGAGACGGTGGTTACGATACTTAAATCGGCAAGAGTCATGTTCTTTCCTGCCACATAGCTTTCCCCTTCGAGGAATTTATCGAGAAACGAAAGCGCCGTGCCAATGCTCTCGTATTTTGCTTGATCTTTACCCGCTTTCATGAAAATGATAGGATACTGAAGAATGAAATTATTTCCGATTATTATTATTATTATTATTATTATTATTCTATTTCATTTCACGAATAATCAAATCGTTTGCTTTCATAAAATCGTTTTATCAATTTTCTAATAATAATAATTTTAAATATATAATCGAATAATTTGTACAATAACTCACGTAATAATCCATGAACGATTTATATAAATTGCACATGTCGAAGTACAATCTTTGATTAACGATCGCCCGTTTCTTCAGATCCTTCGGGTACAGAGAGTCATTTTTGCCGTATTGGTCCGCCAAATACATCATAATGGCTCGACTGAAAGGAGAATGCGGTTCAAGTATAGTAGGGCGGTGTTGCAACTACGAAGTGTTATTAATCGCAACATATTTTTTTCGAGAAGAAAAGAAAAAAAAAAAATAAAGATGGATATATTACCTTTCCCATAAATAGAAACCATTGTCATCAATTGTAGGTATCGTGTGTTGTGGGTTTATCTACGATTTAATTGATTTCATTTTCTCGTTTTTCTCTTTATATCTCGAATCAAACAAATCGAACCGGTATACGTATTTTTTCGTACCTTTAAAAATTCAGGCTTCAAGTGTTCCCCATTCATCAAATTAACTTGTTTGAAGTTCATTTCGATATCAAGAGCAGCGGCCGTCAATGCAACTGCGCGGCACGGTGGGCTTCCGAGAAGTTGATAAAAATCGATCGGCATTTTAATTTCTGCAACACGCGATGTAACATCCGATAATACGAATGATTTCTTATTAACGCAAATATCATTAACCGTTGATTAATTTTCCATTTTTTTTAACACTTTTTCATTTACTTAAATTGTTTTTAAAAAATAAGAAAAAATATATATATCCATTTTAAATGTAATTATCATGTAATTATTGTATTCAAAAATTGCAAGACATAAGGCAAGTACAAATATTATCAATCAATAATATAACCATGTTTCAAAATAAAGCAAAGAAAATGATTAAAGTAAATACAATTTGTAAGCACAATTATTAAGTAACTCCCTTGTACAATTGGTTAATTCATTGTCCTTAATGATTAATATTTTTAAAACTTAATATCGCATTATTTTATTCGATAAATTGTTATAAATTTTTTATAAGATTGTTAATTTGTTATTTAAATTGTTATTATTTATATGTTATTTAATTTTAATATTGTTATTAATTGTTATTTTTTTATAAGATGTGCCAAGATTTTTTTTTCTTTAAAATTCAACTCTCGGTACAATGTCGAAACTTTTCACAACAGAATTTCTAAATTATATTGCAGCCTTTTCTATTCGAGAAAAGAATAATTTTACCAACTCCTGATCCACCGTCGCCGCTATGCATCAACTCGATAACTTTGTTCGAGAACAACATGCTTATATCGATTGTTAAAACAAAAAAAACGAAAGAAAAAGAAAAAAAACAAATTGTATATATTTTGCTCGTAGGCGTGGACATTCAAGTGAAACGATAGTAGACGGAACCGTAGATGGCGATTAACACATTAAATTAGAAACTGAACGCGACGGCACAATGGTTGAAAACATTTGAAATTGCGTACCAGGCTCGAGGCGACGAAAACAAGGATGATTTGTGACCGAGAGAATAAATGAAGAGAGGCGCGCAAAGTAAATTTATAATACGAGCTCTGTTGTCCCGCGAGATAATTAACGAACTATTTAAAGGTGTAAGCTCCTCCAATCTTTTTGTAATGTGCCGGCGTACACGTCCTCCTTTTGAATAGGCGAATAACGCGAGCAACGTTGCACGCTCGACCGATTTTAACTGTCGAATGAATGTGACGCGACTCTCTTTGTTTTCTTTTCATCCCTTTCCAATTCGTTAGAACGTATCGCGGCCGATTCAGCGATTTGCCCTTGAGAAGAATGCGCCTCTGATTGGCTCCTGTTTCTAACGGCGTTTCTAATGGAATCGATGTTTGCGTTCGGTTCTCCATTGGAAGCAAAACTGTTGCGTTTCTAATTAAACGTTTATTGTATTGTATCTGTTAGGTATATTGCATAAATAAACGCGACACATTTTGAATAATCATTCGAAGTGAAGTTATGTAAATGTGTAAATGAAATTTAAAAATATTTATACAGTAAATATATTATCAACGGTGTATCAACGGTGTACAGGCAGTGACAAAAATGTCTTCGTACGTTATTTCGGTAAGGAGATTCGGTTTGATTTTTGTTCCAAATGAAAATTCGTGGATAGAGTGTTGTTGAGTTGAATAAGAAAATTTATTTTTTTTAGGATAGGAAAGGATAGACAAGAATGTGAACTCTCGAAAAATTTCTTCTATTTCGAAGATTTTTTTCTTATGTATGTATGCTCACTGTAACGCATTAGATCTCTCTTCTTTTCCGGATGATTTGTCTCGTTTGAAATAATTTATCGCGAATAACAGTATTTATTACATTTTTGATTATCAGAAAAATCAATACGTATCACGCACGAAATGTTTCCGATGAGCGAAGAATTATCATAATGATAAATCATTTATATGATAATACGCAACTTTTATGTATGTATATAAATAGAAAAGTTATATAATGTTTTTTTTCTCATATGAAAAAAAATAATGGTATTCGTACGAGATAAAGATATGATTATATTATATATATAATTATGATTTTTATTGTATATTTCTTACTCATGCATCGAATTATTTTTTGCAACAATTAATAGATACATAATTTATAATTAATAGATACATACTATGGATAAATGATTTTTCAAAAAAATGATATTTCGATATTTCGCGTTTCGTAAAAAAATAAAAAAAAATAATTTGACTTTTTTTTTTTTTTTTTTTTTTTTTTTTTAAACGAATTCTATTTCCATTTCCGTTTAACTTCATTGCGTTAAGTTTATTTTTATTTTTAAGCGCGAAAAATATTGGAATTCCATTGGCGAATACGGTCACGTTTTTCAGAGACGCTGAGCGAAGGTCGCAGCTCGAGGAGAAAGCTGCGATCTTTTGTTCAACCTTGATTGAAATCTTCAAGATCTCGTCAACGAAAATTGTCGTACCGTTCTATTTATCTATTATTATCTCAATAATAAGAATCGGGAAATTTCGTTTATAATTATTTTCGTAAAATTTTCGAGGTATTTAAAAATTCGACGAATACTTCTCGAATATTTATTTATTAACGTGCATTAACATTATTTTAAAATAATACGTATAATAATATTAGCTTAAGTTAAATAAGTGAATTCGATAACTATTATCTCAGAGATATCATTTTTCTGAGAATTGTTTTGTTCTATTCGCTAATTTCTTCAATACATCATATACATACTTAACACGCGAACGAGACGATCTTTTGCTCGAAGCAAAAGATACGATTCACAGCGATCAACATGTAAATTTGTAACATTCATCTTAAAATTTTATCAACATGGTAATTTTTCATATAATTATTAAAACACGCCAATTTTATTTTTCACGATGATTCGCTATATAAATAGAAGATAAAATCTACGCCCCCCGGATAAGACATCAAGATATCTTTTCCGTTGCAACGATTTTCTATTTTATTTTTCTTCTTAAACATCTCGTTAAACAAATTCGCAATACGTTCCATGCCTAATCTCGATCATCGTTTCACTCTACACCCTTTTAAGTAGATCCTTGTAAATTCGCCCGATACAAGTCGGCAAACAATTTCGTTCCGGGGGCGTGCACAGCCTCGAAACCAAATTTATCCAAAACTTTCTTACAACTATCGTACCAAGTCGCCAGATTGTCGTATCGGTCGATATCGAAGTCAAAACACTGTTAAAATACACATATTCGATGCCTTTAATAGACACACCGTACTCTTCCAATTATCTCATCTTCTCTTTTTTATAATTACACATCGATAACGTTATATTATAATTACAAAACGAGACACGTGCAAGGCGGATAAAATAAGATAATTACATATCGCGTGGAAATACTTACCAACAGGACGCAAATGGTCGTGTGGATGGCAAAATCGGCAATGGTGAGCGTATCGCCGGCAACGTACTCGCGATCGTCGAGATAAGCGTTCAACACCTGGCACGATCTCTCCACAGCTTGTACGTTCTCCTCGTTCAAGGAATGCGCCCCCAAAAATATTGCCGAGTACTGTGTAAAATCATGGCGTTTTAAGAAAAAAAAAAAAAATATAAGCCCTCGAATATAAGAGAGTGAGAAATGATTCACGATATACGTACGTAACATTTGACCACGTTCTCGTTGAGGGTACCGATATCAAAATACAACATTTGATCCACCATACCCCTCTTCTTTGGGTCTTTCGGATACAGAGAATCGTTCTTGGCGTATTTGCTCACCAAGTATCCCATGATTGGCCGGCTGCGAACACGCGAATGAGTTATTATCGAAGTGAAAAATTCGATGCAATCGAAGGATAATCAACGCGTACCTTTCGCATAAGACGAAGCCATTATCGTCTATGGTCGGTATTACGTGTTGCGGATTCAACTGAGATCAAAATTGTTTTTATCGATGAATTAAAAAAGAAAAATACGTTTTACTATAAGCGTGGATATATATATATTTCAAATAAAACGAGCGAATTACCTTCACAAATTCGGATTTCATGTGTTCCCCTTTCAAAGGAGAGATCGTTTTCAAGTTCAAATGAACGCCGATCGCTTTTGCCAGCAATAGAACCGACCGACACGGTGGACTGTACTCCAAGTAATAAAAATCAATCGGCATCTTTTCTCTTTATTTCTTTTTTTTTTTTGTTGGAATTTCTTTTTTTGGAATTTTTTTTCCCTTTTTTTTTTGTTTTTTTCGTATCCTTTATCAACGTCACTGCGCACGATTTTTATACAGTAGATCAAGAATAGAGGAAATTTCTCGAATTTCTACGCTTCGTATTTGCATGCGTATCCCGCATACAAATTTACTCGTCTCTCTTCTCTTGTGTTTCGAATTCTATGGATGAGAAGGATTATCAACCAAATTGCATATGGAATTTTATGGAAATCCTTTCCAAAAAGGAAAAGAGTTACGGTGTAAAGTACGAGCGATTTCGAGTCAAATAAATGCCATTTTACGATACATACGCGTATATACATATATCGAACATATCATTTCCAAGTTTTCTTATCGAAATCGATCGTACTTTTCCTTTCTTTCTGTCAATTATATTGACGTACACGATATACGCACGTTGACGTTACGTTAATTCAATTTTCATTCGACAGAGGAATGCAACGAAGTTGAAGTCACGTATTCTTGTTCGAATTGGAAAACTTAGTAAATTTCGTATCGTTGGTATTCATCGCAAAATGCGGGGAAGCGTTTCGAAACGGAAGAAAACGCGGGGAGAAAATCAGTGAAATGGAATACCGCGGGGAATTATTAAACGCAACTTCCGTTTCCAACATTCCTGTTCCAAATCTGTTCCCCGAATAATTAAACGTATCGCCAACTTAATGAAACGGAATTAATTATCGTGGCAAGACGACACGACACACCTCTCTCTCTCTCTCTCTCTCTCCTTCCATTCGATTTCAACGATTTTTCCAAACGAAAACTTGCATTATTCGGCTCACCCCGGCCGGCTGATTTAATCCGAGATCACCGCGAATTCCACACGCGAATTCACGCGTCAACGATTCTCTAATTAATTAGCCGATTGGCCGGCCATCGAAGATAACGAAGCACCGGCCCGAGTCGATTAAAGCTCGTTTCGCGAGTAATACGCGGAACGGGCAGGGAGGGGAAGGCAAATAACGTGGCCGAATGGTAGATCGAGTTGCCATAGCGATGTCGTAAAGCGTACGGCAAACATAAGCGTGAAAGTGTAACAGCGACGATATCGTGGAACGCGATCGAAGGTTGTAACGCATCTGCAGGATCGATATGAAAACAAGGCGGGCGGTCGGTTTGGTCGCGATTGAAACTGAAAAGTAATCGCGTCGGATGGGTTATCGAATACCGAGGGTGGAGGAATGGGATGGAGCGGGATCGTTGGCCAACGTTGACGGCCGGGACAGGGAAAATCGTATTAATCCGTGAACAACGTTTCGCCTGGATGCGGCCGGTTACTATTGAAACCGAAAACAACCACGATGTTTTACAACAAACGAGCCGTCCCGTAACAACAAATCGTAGCCGAATCGTTCCCGGTAAATTGTTCCATAGTTTTATACGCATCGAGCTTAATCCAATTGGATATTATGTATTTACGGTGGCGGCGATGCTCGTTTTACGGGGGATAAATCGATAAATCGACAGTCGTTCTCGCATTGATTCATTCGTTTCCATCTAGAATTTATAAAAATCCTATTTCAAAAGATTCTTTAGCCTTTGTTTTTTCAATTTCGAGAACGAGCTACTTCCCTCTTTATCCTTATTCCCATCAATTTCTAAGCGAGAAAAAAAGAGTAGGAGTGAATTATATTCTCGACCGCCATTGATGATATCGAGGAGAAAGAGAGAGAGAGAGAAAGAGAGGAACGAAGAGGAAAAATAATTAAGATGCAATTTGGTCGTAATAGATATCATTGCGGTTTATCAGAGGAAAGTGAATATTAAAAGGACAATGGTCGGGAGGTGGGTGGTCAGCACGCGATACATTGCCGCGGTACGGTCATGAATTCGCGCGGTCGTTCATCTCAATAAATTTTCTTTCATTACCATCGTCACCTGGGAGGCCGGACCGCGATCTCATTTTACCGGACAATTACACGTGACTTGTTACCGCGATATAATTTTAATTGGCTGTGAAAACGCGTCGTGTCTGCGCGTAAGAATAACCACGCGCCATTGCAACGCATATCGCATATATAGGTGTTGTTCATAAATTCATAGGAGGGTCCGTTGGCCCGTTCTCACGCGCCAATTATTCCACCGTCGGAGCATCAGCAAAACGTGTCGTTTTAACGATGTCACGGACAACTAGAAACATCGATTATTCGACGAACGAGCGTGTAATTTGCCCGCGAATGAATGCGTCTGCGTGCGACCGCGCCCACCTTCAATTTATTCGCCTACCATTTCCCGCGACGAGTTTTCGTTTAATCGGCATTTAAACGATTATCAACCCGATGCCCGATCGTAAATAAAAGTTACATTAATCGATCCCACGATATTTTCTATTAACGAAAACACTCGTCGATTCGTGCCTTCGTTACATTTCTTTTCGATAGATCCGAATTATTTTATCGATCGCGCATTTATACGAACGAAAGTTTTAACGTTTTTTTTTTTTTTTCTTTTTAAACCTCTTCGATAAATTTATCGCTCTTAGTTTGGTTTTTTTCCTTTTTTTCTCGCATCTTTAGCTTCGTATCTCGCTCGTTTAGCCTTTATCTTTGGACGACTAATAATAAATTCGATGAATCATCGTCTATAATGTATCTCAATTGGAGAATCAATTATTTGCGCTTTGTTGTTCGAACAGGTGACGAACGCTGCTCTATTCGTCGAAAGTGTAACGAGACGGAACGAACGATAAACCGACGAGTGCGCCACCGACTAGTCGTACCTACCGTTGGTATCGAGATCAATCTTTCGATCGTTGCCAATTCTAAGAATTATCGAGCGAGTCGATTGTTAATTCGACGAATCGTCCACCGTGCGAAAAAGATGAGGATGGAAGTCGAAACTCGGGCGATAACGAAGGAGAGGAAGGAGACGTTCGATGGACGGTCGATCGCCTCTTCGGTTCCACGTGTCCCGTTAAATCGCACGAAACGGAATCGATATCGCCTTTGGCCGACCGTCGATAACGTCGTCGCGAAATGATTTTGCATCTGGCTCGCTGACCTTTCCAAGTTTCCGTGCTCGTGGTGACCGAGTTATCGGAGCTAGCGCCGGGCGTGTCTGCGCTGTAACTATCGATTAAGCGTGCGGATCCACTCGAATGGAAAATGGAATAGCCACGATCGTTCTCGGCTCATCGACGCCGCATCATGGAAATACAGCATCTAGGCTCTTTCGTTTCAACGCCCGTTCTCGCTTCGATGCTCGATCATCGCGTCGTCGTCGTCGTTGTCATCGTCGTGATGATGATCCCGCTTTTTTTTTTTTTTTTTTCTTTTCACGTCTCGTCTCCCGTCTCTGGGACGCGAATCGGAACCGAGCGAAAACGAACGAAAACAACGATCGAATTTACAAATTTACCGACGATTCGCATACGGTGTTACGATATCGCCGTAGATTCGTGACGTCGAGGAGGGACGTTGAGTAACCGTTCGTAGTAGGATTTCGTTCGGGATCCTGCACGATGGTTCCGTGAATATTTCATTTGTAGAAATAGCTTTGTTCGATAGGTTATGAATTATTCGAGGATCTCGATGGGACGTCTGGTCTTTAATTTTTATGACTATCGGAGTTGCGTGCAATCATCAACGCGTTCCAGAAACGCTCGTTAATCCCACGTGTTTCGTTGACCGTGAATGACGGATCAAACTTTGCGATCGGTTTAATTCATTACAGGGTATTGCCGGGCAAAATCATGAGAAACACGAGGCGAGCGAATAACGATTCCCAAGAAATTACCAGGAAGTGGATTTCGTTCGGATTTCGATGCGATTTACGAAAATTTCTAGAGATTTTATATATATATATATACATACATATATATGCACGTAGAACAGAATCGTTCGATTTTACGTCTATCCTTAGGTAGAATTAAGGGAAAGAGGAGTTTTCATCGAATTTCCTCGCAAGAAAGGGAGCCGAGGAGGAATAGTTTTTTCATTTAATTAGCTTCGAACCAACGACTCTTCCTTTTTTCGCTCGAACACAGGAGAGGGGGGGGAGGAGGGATAAACGTTTTGGCGAAATTAATCCATTGCTATATTCACCAAACACCATCCATATTCCAGACTGTGGGTTAATTAACATCTAAATTTCCATCGTTGCCCGCCTTAATTGATCCACTTTATTACACATTCCTGGGGAGGGGGGAACGGGAGGGGGGAAGAGGGGAGGGGACGAGGCTAGTTTATACGAGGTGGTCGGCCGCCGTTCTCCGAAAACACACACCGATCGCTTTCATCGATATCCCGTTAAGAGCAGATGTATTTTACGAGCGAGGTTTCTAGCCAAAAGTGATAAATTTTCAACCAACCGGAACGCTCCATTACATAATCGCCATTCTTCCTTCTTTTCTACATATTCTCCCTATCTCCCTATTTCCCCCAAATTTATCCGAGATCCCGATATTCGGTTTAAATAATATATATATATATATAGAGAGAGAGAGAGAGCAGATATTCCCTCTCCTCCTCGTACGAGCAAGATTTTCGAGTTTAATTAAATCGAAGATGACAGTGGAAGATAAAAGTGGCGAGAGGATACGTGTCGGTATATCCCGACTCTTTCGACGGGAGAGGAGAAACTGGAGGATGACCGATAGGGGGAGGACAGAGGTAAAAGATCAAAGGATTTCCTTGACTAACGGCGGCCATCCTCGGGAGGAGGGATACGTCGAGTCCAGGACGTCGACGACGACATCAACCGTGAAAGCGTAGTACGGTTGCCACGAGATGGAACGATACCTCCTACCTTCTTTTTCCATACATCCCCGCAATCCGTTCTCTTCTCTTCCTCCTCTTCCTCCTTTTCAATGGGAGAGGGGAGGGGAGGGGAGGAGAGGGGAGGAAGTAGGAAAGATATTACGAGTTTCAACGAGTTCCACGGAGTTGCACGAGCTGTCTTGCGGGGTAACGCGTTACCTCCCCCCTCCCGCCCGCCTTCACGAGCCACGCTGTCAAGGGAATTGGCTGTTACGAGATACGCTTGTTATTCCGTATCCTGCATGACGGGCCTGCTCGAATTTTAAACCGTCGTTCCATCAAAACATCGCGCGACACCGTACGTAAACCGGAGAGATGATCGAAAGAAAACGTAATCGTCGAATTTGCACGGTCGCAATCGCGATTTTTTTTTTCTTTTTTAATACGAAATTAAAGTTTCGACTTTGTCCCTTTCTTTCTTTCTTTCTTTCTTTCCTTTCCTTTCCTTTCCTTCTTTTTCCTTTTCTTTTGTTTCGTTTCGTAAAGAGGCCACGAGAGACGCGTCGGTCGCGCGCACGTGCGTTACGCGTGACTTAAGCCGGGGGGGGGAAAAAAGGCCCGGGACTGAAAAGAGCGTGCGTCCACGGTTTTTTTCCGTCCCGTTAATTGGAAAGAAAAGAAAAAAAAAAAAAAGAGAGAAAAAGAAAGAAAAAACTTGGGGATTCGCTCGTTACCGTCCGCGGCCGCGCAACGATTCGCGCAACGATTCGCGCACAAAAGCCACTACTGGAATTTCATAAGCCTTTGAAAGTTCAGCCGCGCCGCGCTACTTTGATCCTCGACCGCGGCCCGAAAAGTCTTTGAGCCGGCTATGTCATGCAAGAGTATTGCCGACGCGAGTTTCCAACTTGCCCGATTACCAACGACTTTCCATGCGAGTCGACCGATTAATAGGGAAGAGAGAGAGAGAGAGAGAGAGAGAGAGAGAAAAAGGCGAAGAAGATTAATTAATCATCTTTGATGGAAATTATACACGCGATTTTATTTACACACGAATTTTTAATATGTTAATATACGCCATATATTTTTTACTTCAACGAACGTTTAGTTTCTTTCGAGACGTTGGAAAGATATTTTTTTATTAGATTTTATTAAAGCAACGTACAAAATACGGTAATAGTAAACGATAGAAACGAGGAAAAAGAAAAACATCTAAAGAACGTGTATACACTTAAATTACAACTTTTTAGAAAGAAAATCATGTAGATAATATGATACGCCTTATGTTGAAAGAGATCTATTCAAATTCTTGCAGATTCAAGCTTCTATTCTGGACATTCGTATAAATCTTCGTACCTGCGAAGAAACGAGCTCGATGAAACGTCGATTTACGATTATTAATAGATTTTTATCTTTTCGTCCATCTAATTCTCCGAATGGAAGCCAATGGATTTATTCATCGTTCGATAATTTCGATATAAATTAATGGAAATTATGTAATGATTGCAAATCAAATCAAAGCAAGGTTTCAAATCGGAATCGACGAAAATTTTAAAACGTATCTTTTTTTAGTTCGCCACTCATAATTATTAATAGCGCTTAATATACGAGAGGAAAGCAGGGTAATATAATAATACCCTGTATCATCACAACGACAGTTTTAAAAATGGCGCCATTTCGTTAAGAATCGAAAAGAAAAAGAAGAGAAAAGCATACAGATTTTCTTCAAACGGAAGATAAGCTATGACGCGATAACAGGATTATTAATGGATGGTCCTAATGCTAAATCAACACGGTGTAACGCGGTCTTAAATATCAGGAGGAGGCGATCGGTGTCGCTGCATCCGGTTCGTTCGCGCTGCCGTGAATCGGCATTAATTCCGGCCAACGGTTTACTCTCTCTCTCCCTCCCCGCCCCCCCCCCTCTCTCTCGCTCGTTCGCTCTCGCTCGCTCGCTCGCTCGCTCGCCAGTCGACGATGCGACGCCACCACGGTGGGAATTATGTCGGGGCGCAGCGTGAAGGAACGTGGTGCAAAACGCGCAGCAAATACGTGCCTGGTTCACCCCCTCTGGATCTGGAGGATTTGCTCGCGCGTTTTCTGCGTGTACCGGCAATTCACGCCGATGAGAAATCGGCCAACCTGGAAAGATTATACGTGAGCTGTGTGCCAAGTCCTGGAAGGGAGATGGCCAATTTCCTCCGGAGAGAAAGGGAGCGACATCCTTCTCCTCCTCCTCCTCCTCCTCCTGTGTCGCCGTTGAAACCGTGCGAGGAACCACCGCCACGTTAAAATTCATTCACCTTCCCCTCTCGTTAACTCGTAAAATTTCTTCTAAAATTCTCTAAAAGTCTATGAAAGTCGATACGTTGAATCGGATCCGTTTTCGAAAGGAATCGTAAGCAATTTAGATTCCTAGCAATTAGAAATCTTGCGCAAAATACACATGGAAGAAAGATGCGCGAAGTTATTGTTCCTCGACGAAAATTCCTTCGCAATCCAGTTCCATTCCGATCGAGCAAAGGCGATCGAATCCTCGAAGGAGAGAAGGGATCGAAGGGAATGATACACGTTCTCGTGTCGTATTCGGTTGGATACACCGGTTGGATACAGGTTTACGGAGAGAGATCGATAAGGCAGGTAAAACGCGATTCCCCCCGTGTTACAAAGTTCTATCCAGAGCGTGGCGCGAATTAGTCGGGTTGGTCGCGCTCCTAGAATCTGGTAAATGAAATTCCTGCGAACCCACCGTGTCAAGTGACTTTGATTTCTGCATGGACAACCGGACCACCCTCTCTCTCTCTCTCTCTCTCTGGCAAAGGGATCGATTCAGCTCGCCTTGGCCGCAGCAGTTCTGGCAGGAATTCGCGCGACATTCGCCGTCGCGTGTCGTGGATCCGGATCCGGTTCTCTCGCGCTGGAAAACAATTTGAAAGAGCGCGTGTTCGAGAGAGGAAGGGAGAGAGGAGGGAGGATTCGCCTCTCCGCCCGATCAATTCGAATTTCGCCCGAGGAGCTCGAAGCAAATTCCTCGCAAGTCGAACAACGCTCCGTTTCATATTTTAGGATAAAGCGCGGTTCGACGAGACGTTCGACGTCACCCCACAGGATCGTGTAAATACTATCCGGTGGGATTCGTTCCGCCGCTCGGGGAAAGCGTCTTCGGAAACGCACCGCCGTTTATTTTTCACCCGACGCGACGTCTCTTTGCTCGTATGCATCGATACAACGCGCGCGCCTTGTCCTTTCATTTTTTACGCGTTATCGGGTAACGAGCCGGTGATCGAGAAAAATTCCACCGAGGGAAATTCGTTTATCGAGACAACGAACGAAACGCTTACCTAATTTTATCATTACTCGGTATTAAACTCGGGATTCTCCTCGCAACGCGAAAGTGAAAAATTGAAATTCTGCCATTTCAAGATCGGAAGAATTTTCATTCCTTAATTTGTTGCCACGCGGTTGCCGATTTGCATTGCTCCCCTCTACCGATGAAGAAAGGGAGAAGAAATCGTTCGTCGAAATTGGAATCTTAATTATTTCATCTCAACGTTTCGACAACTCTTCAAGCTTCTTCGTTGCGATCTTCAATGAAATCTTCGCTCTCCCCTTGGTTTGGTACGATATCACTTTCGCGATCGCGTCCAATCTCTCGTTTACACTTTATTCGCTTTATGCTCGCCTCGTATTCTCCTCCAGGGGATTCTTCACGGCGAATTAACGGCAACGTCGCGAAAAAAGAGAAGAAAAGGAAAGGAGAGAAAAGAGAGAAAGAGAGAAAAAAGGGAATCGTATCGCCGCGCCGCTCGGACGATCCGCGATCCAGACGAAGATCGCGACGAGGCGAGGATGGCCTCGAGGGGGGAGAGGTGCGCGGGAAAGAAGGTTGGCGCGCTTGATCCTCCGGTTAATAAAACGTTAGGCGAGACATAAAGCGATACGATGATGTATCGCGGGGTGTAGACGGGGGCAGGCCAAGTAGCTGGTTCGGGCTACGTGTTGCGGCGAAAGGGGAGAGGGAGGAGGGAGGATGTGGCGCGACGATGCCACGGGGAGACGAAGCGCGGGGAGAAGGAAGAAGCGAGCTACCTACACAAAGGAGCGAGAACGTTATTATAGGGCGACTAGCGGAGAGCACGTTGGTGGCAACGTGTTGGTCCCCCCCTCCCTCTCACTCACTCTCTCTCACTCTGCACGATAAGGCGTTCGGCGTGTGTACGTGTGTTTATGACTGTGCGCGCGAACGGGCGAGAGAGGCATAATGGGTTGGAGAGAGGCGAAAGGGCGCAGCCGCGAAGCTGGCGGAGCCATCCTCGTCTACTCCCGGCGGGCAGTGGTGGTAGCAGCGAGTGGTGGCAGCGCCGGCGTCGCTTTTGCCATCCTACCTACCGGTTCCAGCAGGAAAGTTGGAGTAGGTCTCGTGCGAGGGTGCGGACCGCACACGGTTCCGCCACGCTTCGTACTCGCGCCATTTCCTCCTTTTTTCTCTCTCACGGTTAAACGCGCGCTCTCCCGCGTCTCTCCTCGTCCCCGTTCGCACGCCTCATCCGTCTCGATTCCCCTCGATCGTTTCCCGTCGATCGTATCCACGATCGAGTGCACCGCGCGTCCCACGTACGCGCCAAGGAAGCGACCGGCTGTCGCCTCGAGGTGGCGCGTTTTTTTTCAACGGACCGTTAAGGAAGAGAGGAAGGAAGGAAGGAAGGAGGGAGGGAAGGAAGAAAGGAAGGAAGGAAGGTGGAATTTGGAAAATTTCGCTCTGCTCCGTTTTGAAAGAATGATCGAGGAAAGGTGGATAATAGATAGGTGGCCGTGATCGAATAGTGCGAGCGACCGAAGGATTTCGTGAAACTACGTGGTACGACGCGGTCGTAAGTTTCGCGCGTATGGGTGTGTGTGTCCCGCTATGATCCATCACGATTGACTTTCTCTTGTGTCACGCTCTTACGTACCAGGCGACGACCAACACGTAAGTGCCGATTGTATCTCTTCTATGTCCGATTATTACGCACTAAAATCATTCCCGTCGCTCCCTTTCCTTTACCTGTCTCGATTCGAAATTATATTATACCGTGGTATGTAATCATCTACACGGAAATAAATTACAAGTATGCGTGGACAACGGTGCGGGATTATCGTATCGTAAAAATTACTCCTTGGAACGAGACTTCATCTCGGGAGAGAAATAATATTGTTGACGAGCTTCGCTTTCCCTATTTTTTTTTTGTTATACTACGTTTTACTTACTACATATCTCGCATTTAAAGAAAAGAGAGAAAGAACGAAATGGAAAGAGAGAAACAATCGACGAGAAGAAGGTTACGTATGATGTGGATCGGGATTGCTTGACGAGAATTTTTCGATTCATAGAGATAACGAGATTGATAACCGCGAACTTTGGGGATTTCGATGAACGATCGAGGATATATAACTCTGGCTGCACGGAATATCAAGGAATACGTGAATAATACTCGATAATTTTTACGCGATAATCGATCTTGTGGAATAAAATTCTTGTATCGCGCGTAGAAAGAACACATCCGTCTTCACCATTTAAACGAGGGAGAGAATGCAAGCGTCGTTCGAAGAAAGGAAAGAGATAGGAAGGAAAAAAGAAGGAAAATATTTCGAACCGATATAGATCTTCGTGGATAACGTTTACATCATCGTGTTAATTAAAAGTATCGTCCAATTTTCTCTCGTTGACCTCACGTCCTTCGAGCCGTCATTTAATTATGCGCCTTAATTATTCTTTCGCCGTCTCGATCTCGATCGAGGCAAACGCAATTTCCAAAATGGCATTCCTTACCCCTGAACGTATCTTCTCCTCGATCGAACATTTTTCGAAGAACGAGCGTAACAGAAATTGAAACTCGGCACGTCGCGTCGCGGGCCACGAATCAATTTGTTACGTTGTGAAAGAATTATAAAATCGACTACACCCCGGCCAATTCGGGGAAGAAGACGTTCCACCGATTCGAGAAGCGAACGTTACGATGCGAGTTGTTCGATACGTATTCCACGTATTAAAGGGACGTGGCAACCGAGGGACGAGCGATGCCGAGCACGTACGCCCGCGAGTATAATGCGAGATCGTCGTCGTTCGATAATTTCATTTCGTCGAACAAATTTTCCTTCGGATATTACGCTTTCGCTCGCCTCACCTTTCTCCTCCCTTTTTTTTTCCGCTTCTTTTTCTTCCTCCTCCTCTTCCTCCTCCTCTCCTTCTGTCGTCCGCGCGGAAACGGAGGTGGGAGGAAAAAAAAAAAAAAAGGGGGAAAAAAAGGGAGGAAACGAACACTCCAGAATAGTTCCAGTCGGCGAACGTCGCCGAAACGAAATTCCGCAATTTTCCGTAACGACATTGCGCGGCATGAATTTAATTCTCCAGTGATTATTATTACCGCGATGGAAACAAATTTTTCGCCCGATATTCTACTACTCGTCGACATTTGCTCTCCCGATATTTCCACCTCTTCCTTCTCTTGCGTTCTCGTTTCTTCTCGACCGATCGAAAGAACGAAACTCGAGTTTTCACCGCGAACGTTCATCGGCCGAATCGACGGAGGAAGGGGGAGAGACAGAGTTCCGCGAAAAAACTCTGTTCAAATGTACGGCGTGCAGATACATCGCTGCGTACGGTACGCGTTCGGATTTTGGACGTTCGCGCGTGGGCTCGTAACGCCCGATTTCGATTCTGTCCGTTCGTTCGTGCCTCGCCACGAACTATTCGCTTCTGTATAAAACTTTTAATAGAGAGGGGAAAAAAAAAAAAAAAAAAGAAGGAAAAGAGAAAAAAAATATGTCAGTTCCGTGCGAAATAAAACTGTATATATACGACTCGAGCGTCGTGCGCACCGGTGCGCGAGCCATCATCAACCGGGCGGCGCGGATTGGATATTGAAAATGGCCGGGACAAAACGATCTCTCACGGCATATATTAATCGCGCGCGTCTTGATAAAACGGTCAGTGAGTTTTTACGCGCTTTTTCCGCGCGTAAAATTTTCCCGTTCCGAATGAGAGTTTAATCACCTCTGAAATATTGAGTTTTCTACGACCAGTTTCCCTGCTCGTCACTTTCACCCCGATGAATATTTTATCGCTCGCTCTGGATTTTCCAACTGTTCTTCTTTTTTCTTTTTCTTTTTTTTTTTTTTCCGATCAATCGCTCGACAACTCGTCGACGATTCAATTCGCTTCGAGAATCGTCGAACACCTCTGTCTCGAGCGCTATCTTCTCTTTCGATCATTCCTTCCTTGTTTCCACTTGTTTCAAAGAAAAAAGAAAAGAAACAGACGATGGGTCGTAACGACCCCATAATAATCGCGACACGAGCGCTTAAAAAAAAAAAATCCATATAATATGCGCGATAACTCGAGGGGAAGGGAGGGAGGGCAAGTCGGCGGCACCTATTTTCGTGATTACTTTGCCACCCGGCCTTATCTCGAAACCACGGCCTACCCCAAGGTTTAATTTGCGCGTAACACGAGCGAAAGTGATTCACCCTCGAATTTTCCATCCTCGATGCTCTCTTCGTTCGTGACGGACGGCCCTTCCTTCGCCCTCCCCGTTGACACGTTCGAATTACCCGTACCTTACCCGCACCTGCACCTTCTAACTTCTCTTCATTTCACGGATGAAATAAAAATTTGGCACCTACGCCAAAAAATAAACGCTTCTTTCGAGAAAGCGAAAAGGAAAAAAGGAAACATGGACGAACCGTTCTCAGTGTTGAAAAAGCGTGCGTGTGCGAGATTTGAATCGTCCTCCCTTCTGTGAATACGTCTCTTGTTTACCGAGAGAAAGCGATCGTAAATATTTACGAGGGCCGCTCGTTGGGAAATTTTGATCAGGTGAATCGATAACGACTCGGTTTTGCACAGATTTCCGGCACAATTGTGGTTACACGGGTGTGCGCGTCGCGTACAATTCTCGTCCTCGTCGGCGAATTACGTTCGCTTAAATTCCCTTTACTGATATATATATATATATATATATATATATATATATATATATGTATAATTTTATCCTGTTAAATCGTAAGACAGCGAGATAATTAAACCGTTTATACGCTCGCTCCGCATCGCGACGATCGTCACCGTTTACCCGTTACGCCCTTTCCAACGCAGGATCTCGTTTGCGGACCAATTTGTCATTCGATTTTTCCATCCTTATCCCTGTATACATATATATTCACACGTATACACACGTGAATCCGAGAACGAAGCAGGAAAAATCGGGGAAATTTCGTTTCGAGAAAACGCGCAACTCGTTTGAAGGAGTTTGGAGTAGTAGTTTGAAAATTGGAGAAATAAGAGAAATAAGAGAATGAATAAGAAACACGACTGACGTGATTCTGTAAATCGAGACAATTATTATTTATAAATGGATGTTTAATATCGAACGGTGTATATTTTAGAAAAAGGGGATCGTAATGCTCGAAGCAACAAATGTGGAGGGGTGGATTATTTCCTGTTAAAAAGGTATTTGATGAAATTCTCGCAGCGTGCGCGATAAATTTCAATAGAGGAGGGGGGCGTCATTCCGTTAAGAGACTTACTTTCCTCGCTCGGAGAGATTTATTTATATGTGTCGATTGTAATTTCAAAGTTTCGAGGAGGCGGAAGAACTTTGCAGAGAAAAATCATTGGAAAGTGGAAAAGATGAAGCGACGAAACGTATTTCTTAATTCATGGATGGATGAATGGAAAAGCAATTGTTTTCGGAAAAGGGGCCGAGCGAGTGAAGAGAGAGAGGGAGAGGGAGAGAGGGGAGAGAGAGAGAGAGAGAGAGAGAGAGAGAGAGAGAGAGAGAGAGAGAGAGA